AAGGTTATGCTTATTAATTAAATGTTAATTATTATTAAAAGGTAAATATTTTAAAGGTTTAATTAAGTTATTTATATAATTAAACTTATAATAAATCTTAATTATTCCCTTTAATAATTTTAAGCTAATTAAATAAATAAAATAATTATATTAATTGCTTATTTTTATTAATTAATACTTTAAAGTATTTAATTAAGCATATTAATTAAATATATAAATTGCTTAAAAGAAATATTATTTATTAATACTTTAAAGTTTTAATTTTATTAAGTGCTTAAGGGGTTTTTAAAGGGTTATAAACCCTAAGAGTATTATATTAATGCCTTAAAGGCATTAATTACAAACAAGGGTTTCCTTTAAGAGTGCTAAGCAAGGATTTCTTAAGGGTATTAAGTAAAGGCTTTTTAAGGGTGCTAAGCAAGGGCTTTTTAAGGGTGCTAAGCAAAGGCTTCTTAAGGGTGCTAAGTAAAGGCTTCTTAAAGGTATTAAGCAAGGGCTTTTTAAGGGTGCTAAGCAAGGGCTTCTTAAAGGTGCTAAGCAAGGGCTTCTTAAGGGTATTAAGCAAGGGCTTCTTAAGGGTGCTAAGCAAGGGCTTCTTAAAAGTATTAAGCAAGGGCTTTTTAAAGGTGCTAAGCAAGGGCTTTTTAAAGATATCATAAGGAGGGCTTTTTAATATGCTAGTTATAAGTAAAGGCATTAATAATTAAGGGTATTGCAAGGAAGGCTAAGGGTGCAAGGGCAATATAATTAAAAGTTAAGTATTTATTATAAACTAGTTAATCTTACTTAAAAGTTAAGCGTTTATTATAAATTAAATAGGATTAAGTAAAGCTTATTATTAATTTATTTAATAATTAAGAATATTATAAAAAAGCTTTTAATAATTAAGGAAGGTTATAATTACTTAAGAGTATATTAAGAAAGGCTTTTTAATTAAGGCTTTTTATAATTATCATTATTAACGATTTACATTAATAAACGCAATTAAAAATTAGGTATTATCACTATAAACTAGTTTTTAATGCTTGGTTAGGCTTTTTAGCGGCTTATAGCATTATTATTAACATAAAGTTTCTTATAAGGAGTTGTTATAAGCAAATGGGCTTTTAAGGAATAAGATTTATCTCTTTAATACCTAACTATTTATGCTTGCTAAGCAAGCATTAATTAGTATTAGTTTAGCTTTCATATGGTTAGTAATAAATAAATAAAGTATATAATTAATTTAGCTATAGTGTGGAAGGTAGGTTGCAGCAAAGCTGCAGCCTTCCCTTGTCTGGCTATAGGCTAGCTATGGTGGTCCGTGCGCGGGGCATGTAACCGCCAGCTGGCAGCCGGCTGGCACCGGCTGGCAGCTGCTATCGATAAGACTAGTCTAGACCTTGCACCTTCAAATCTGTGCATTGCCTGCAGCGCACCCACTGCGTGGGCACGCTGCACGTAATGCCCATACGTACTATTCCCACAATAATTATATTTTATTTTAATATAATTTTTTAAAATAACTTTATAATTATTTTCTTACTTAATTAACTTAAAAAATAAAAATAAAGAATATTTAAGGATTTATATTTTTTTAATCTTAAATAATATAATAATAATTATTATTTAAGCCTTTAAGATTAAGTTTAAGCTTTATTTAATATAATAATATTATAAAAATCTCCTTTTAAAATTAATAATATAAAGAAAAGCTTAAAAAAGCTTTTTTTAAAATAAATAACTTAAAGCAATATATTAAAAAATATAAAGCTTTATTAAGCTTAATATTTAAAGAATTATTAAGCATTAAAAAGTAAAATTAATATTATTATTTTTAAAATAAATATATAAATATAAGTTTAATAAAAATAAAATAATTAAATCTTTTAAGATATAAATTTATATTTAAGGAAACTTATAACCTTATTTTATTATAAAAAATATATATATTATAACCTTAATTATAAAATTATTTTATATAATAATAATAATTATTATATACTTTAATTTAAAGATTTAATAATTTAATATTATAATTATATTTTTAAATATTAATTAAAAAAAGTTAAATTAAATTTATTATAAATTATTTAATAAATTTAAAAAGTTAAGAAAATATAAAGTATTCTTAAAAATACTTTATAAACTTAAAAACTCCTTATCTTTTTAATATAAAGATTTTAATTATATATTATAAAATTTAAGCTTAAAATCTTTATTAAAAAAGCTATATCTTTTTATTAACTTAACTTATAAGGTAATAATCTTTTTTTATATAAATAATATTTTAATTATATATCTTAAAAATAAATATAAATTCTTTATAAAAATTAAAAATAAAATTTAATTTATATATAAAATAAAAAATTAAAAAAAAGCTTAATAATTTCTAAGCATATAAGTTCTTAAAAATTAAGAAAAGTATATTATAATATTTTTTTATAATTTATATATTAAAAAAATAATAAATAAATATAATTTATTAAAAAATAAAAACTTTTTATTATTTATTTTAATGCTTAAAGAAAAGCTTAAGCCTTTTTTTAAATAAGCCTTAAAATAAAATATTTAAAAATTTTAAAAAAAAATTAATTTTATTTTTTATATAATAATTATAATATACTTAAATATAATATTTCCTTATTTTATATTATTAAAATTCCTTATAAACTTAAGTTTAAGTTATTTTAAAATAATAAATTATATAATTTAATATTTATATATTATTTAATTCCTTAAATTATAATTTAAAAGGAATTAAAAAGCTTAAGCGCTTTTAATAATTAAAAATGCTTTATTTGCTAATAATAAGGAAAATTAAAAATCTTTTTAAGAATATATAATAATTTTTTTTAAAGGCTTTATATATTAAATAGCATATAAATAAGTAATTATTTTTACTTTAATTATTAAGGCTAAATTATTAACTTTAAAGCTTATAATTAAAAAAATAATAGCTTTAAAATATTTATTTAAAAATATAACCTTAAATTTAAATAAGCCTTAAATTATTTATTATAATAATTAAATAATTATATATTTAATTATTAATAAATATAAATAATTAAAAATAAGGCTTAAATATATAAATATTTAATAAATATAATTAAAATAAGAATTTAAAAGAAATACTTTTAATATTATATATTTAAAAATTAAGAAAATGCTTATAAATAAACTTATTAAAATTTTATTATATATTTAATTTAAATATTTTAAAGCTTTTTTAAATCTTTAAAATATAAGGAAATTAATAAAAAGAAATTAATTTATTTATTAATTATTTTTATTATTAAGTTTTTATTAAAAATCTTAAAAATTATATTTTTTAAAAATTATAATACAACTTTTATATAAAAATTATTTTATAATTAAAAATTATTTTTTAATCTTTATAATAATACATTAATTAATTTAAATTTTTTTTAATTATTATAATAACCTTTTAATTTTTTTAAAAAACTTTTTTAACCTTTAATTAAATTTTTAATTATAATTTTAAATTAAAATTTAATAACATTTACTTTTTAATATTACCCTTAAAATTAAAAAACTTAATTTTAATAATAATATAATTTTAATACTTTTTTATAATTTTTAAATTATTAATAATTTAATTTTAAAGCTTTTAAGCCTTTATATTAACTTTATTATATTACTTTAAAGTAATTATAATTTAAGCTTTAAGGCGCTTTATTATATTCTTATATTTATTTTTTATAACTTTTAAAAACTATTATTATAAAATAAAAATCTTTTAAATATTAAAAGGAATTATAAAAATATAATTAAAATAAATATAATTAAACCTTTTATATTTATATATATTTAAGGCTTTCTTTTAAGTATATTAAAACTTTTTAAATATTAAAAAATTATTAAATTAAGTATAATAAAAATAAAACATAAATAATAAAAGGTTAATTAAAAGTAGCTTATAAAAATTACTTTAAATATAATAATAATAATAATTATCTTTATTATTATAATTTATATAAAAATTATTATTATAATTATATATAAAGCTTTTAATATAAGAAAAATAAGGAATATAATGCTTATTAATTTTCTTAAGCTTTTTTATATCCTTTTTTTTTCTTTTTATACTTTATTTTAACCTTTTTTTTTAAAAAAAATACTTTATTTTAACCTTTTTTTTAAAAAAATATTTTATTTTAAACTTTAAGTTATTTATATATATTTAAAGGTTTTTTAAAGTTATATTAAGAATTAATATATGCTTTAAAATTAATTTTTTAAATTAATTAAGAAACTTATTTTTAAGTATATTATTTAATAATATTTTAATAAAAGCATTAAAGCTTTTATTATCCTTATTAATAAGCTTTTTATTAATTTAATTATATTTATATTTTTTTTTTAAATCTTAAGGGTATAAAAAAAATGAAATAACTTATAGCTTAAAAGTTTATTTTTTATTGCTTTTAGCTATTTTTAATATAATTAAAAAATGCTTAAAATTAATAAAAATAAGTATTTTTAAATATAAATTTAATTAAAAAATTTAAAAAAAAACTTTAATTATTAATTATAAGTTATATTATAAGGTTATAAGTAGCTAAAATTTAAATAATAAAATATATATATTATAAAAAAGATTAAATAGTTAATTACTTAATAAGTTATAATTAATATTTTTAAGTATAAATTAATTACTTAAAAAAATAAGGTAATTAATAAGGTAGAAATTATCTTTTAATTAAGGGGTATATTATATATATATTCTTAACCTTAGTTTATAATTACTTTTTAAAATGCTTAAATAGCTAAATTTCTTTTATTTCCTTCTTTTAAACTATTTTTAGAAGATAAATGCTTTTACAATCATGCTTTTAAACCCCTTACGACACTTATAGCCTTCCACATTTGCCGTGCATCACGCCATTGGACTGACATCACGGCAAACACGCAGGGCGATTTCTTTTGCCTGTTGACCCAGGTCAAATTGTTGAGTCTTTGAAAATATCTGAGTGTAAATTCATGATGATACTAGTATCTCAAGGTATGTAAGGTGCTGGCGCCATACTGGACGCAAGTCCCAGTTTGACTGCCTTCTCGGTATCGAGCACGTCTTTGAAATATTGTTCCAGCTTCTTGCAAATCGCCCCCCTTTTGCCCACCCAGTACCTGATGACACTTTCCAAGTTACAAGCCACCCATCTCGCTTCTTCCCAAACCATCCGTTCCACTCCCTTGATTCTTGCAGATATCTCGGGAGGGTCCTGATATGCTGCGGCTTGGTGATTTTTGTAGTCCAGGGTGAGATCGTACCTGCCTACATGGTCGAAGACGTGGTGTGCGTCCCATTTGGGTGTCATCATGTGTAAGAAAAAAGGCCGCACGGTATCGTACGGATTGACGCCCTTTTCGTCCCTTTCAATTGGTCCGCCGGCTTGTAGATCGCTTTCAGAGTCGTTCGCCGTGCGCAAGCTGGGTTTTGATGGGTGGGCGCCATTTGTGAGGACGTAGTCGTCGGTGGCATCGCCTTGAATGAGCGCAAACCTGTAAATTCCTCGTTCTCGGTGATCGTCGTGCTTGTAATGGCCAACGGGCTGGGGCGGTGCCTCCACCGCATAGAACGGGAGCCCCATGGCTTCGGCTGCTGGGAGGAACGTCTCTTTATCTCCACAACCTGCCCCGCCCTGGCATAGCAATGGATAGTAGTATTCGGGACCGTAGTAGTTGTAGTAAGCCGCCAAAAGAAGAGTCTTCCAGTGCTTGGTCTTAGACACTAAAAGTTGCCCGGACTCGGTACTTGCACGAGCAGAGACGGGTGTTGGCTTTGTTTGGGCTATCAGATAGTAGGTCGGGGATACCGCTGTCTGCCAGATGTCCGGCCATGAGACCATCCCAGTCTTTTGAAACGGGGTTGATGTGAAGAGAGAAGCGGCGTCGTGAAGCGCAAAGTTGTCAGCGTCCAGCCAGAGAACGTCCTCAAATGAGGACAATATTATGGCAAATACTTTGTACTGATAGTGGGAGATTTTGCCGCCCAGCTTAGGGAAAGTGCGGCAGGCTGCGTTCATGGCGGGCAGCACTTCCTCACACATCTGTTCCTCGTATTCTTCTTCGGGGAGGAAAACCTCGACCGGCATGGCTGTGCCGGTTCGACGTAAAAGCCGCAATGAGACCATCAAAGGCGGGAAGTATGAGCCACCGCCGACCGTCACAATACCTCGGGAGTGCTTCTTCGTGGGGATATACTTTGGTAGCTTTTGCTCCACTGCCTTGATATACCCACTATGGGCTTCCATGAGACTCAAGGTCTGCTTCGGTGTGGTTTCAAGAATGTCCATCAGCTCCGCATCGTGATCGGCCGGCCACCGGTCTACCTTTGCTCCTTTGACTGCCTCTATTGGTTTCAATTCGGCCGGTGAATAGTTCTCGAGAATGAATATCAACTCTTCCGCTAAACCGACCTCCTCGCCCTTGGCACTGCTAGCTATGGGAAGCCATTCGGACAGCGTCTCAGTGTTGTCCCATTTTGCCCTGATCTCTGTTCGATAAGGGAATACGAGGGCGATTAAGAAAATAGCCAAGAGTCCGGCTATCCTTGGGATGGTAGCGAGTTTTGAGCGACAGCTTGACTGACCGAGAGTCAACATCCTGTCGTATCTCAATACTGTCGAAGAGTGCAAATCGATGTGGAAATCGAGCCGTGACGCAGGATCCCGTCGCCAAGCTTCATGATAATTTCATGATAATGAAGAGAACGATGCACTGAGAATTGCGTGGAGAACAACCAATTGCCCCTTTGCTTGCGCGTGCGACACGAAATGTCTCGCGACTGGCTTGTCCAAGGATAGATAAAGTGGACCAACTCAGCCAGCGGTTGAATTTCCCTGCTTTCTAGGACCACTCGACCAAAGTTTACTTGAGCATGCTGATTCATTGAGGCGGAGCAGTGGCATGTAAAGAGCCGGGATTAGGTGGGACGTCGAGCGCAGACGGGAAGTGGGTATTCGAACCGCTGCTGTCGTGTGCAATTACGCGTTGCTGAGAAGTCGTCAGCCACACCGTCCATGCAGCATGGACATTGTCCGATGGGTGATTCTGGGTGCCACATTACAACGAAAAGCCCCAGTACCATAATTCCTAATAATCATCATTCATAGCCTAGACTCAGGGTCTGTAGGTGATGCCTGCGGCCGACCTCTAGCGTGAACACTACATGCTTCCACTTGGTCTTCTTTTGTAACATCGTACTCTGTTCCAGCCCCCAAGAAAATCACAAGCCAGATGCCAACCAAAACTTCAATCTTCAATACTGACTGCGGTGAACTTCATTTTCTTGTCTGTGGATTTTGAATGTATTGGTGCGGGTGACGCCGGTGCGGCAGCATTCGCGTCCGATGGCCAACTGACGAAAGATGCCGGATGTGTGTGGCCGCCACGAGGAGCATCTGTGCATGTTCCTCCCTCTTCGATCCGATTGTGCATGTTACTGGGAATGATCTCGATTGCAGGTAGTTCCTTCTCCAGCTCCAAATTCGGCCGCTGAATTACACCAGATTCAAGTTGTTCAAGAGGCACCCCAGTGTTTCTGCGCCAGAATTTCCAGCAGCCTCTGCTTGGAACAATGCGTGCTATCTTTCTGCGTACCACGGCTCGGTAACTGGGGGAGAAAAGTGGCCGTAATACAGGAAGACAAGCTACGATAATGGCGGCACAAAGCTCGCCGAGTGACCAAGAAGCACTGTCGACTTGCCGGTATAGGTCGTCGTTGCTTGGCTTGACTGGTAGGTACTTGATTTTGACGAACCCGATCGCGCAAGTACTGATGGTATACTGTCAGCCTCTGGTTTCTTGCCAAACTCAACAAGGCCCATTTTGGGGAAGGGCTAGTGATCACCACATACAAAAAGCCCAAGCAAAAGAGCATGATTAGCGACAGTCGATGCCAGAGCGAGGCCCTCATTCGCCATAGCAGAGGCAGAGGTAAAGCGAAAATTACCCAGTCGCTTACTATGTTCCCAACACTCTGAATAATGTATTGGTATCTCGGCAGGCATTTCGACGGAATTCTCTTGTCCCAAAACCCGGGAATTGGCCAGCATGTGAAGACACACATGAAGACGATAATTACTGTCCACACAAGGACGATTCCGAGTGTCCAATCAATAAGTCTCTGTATTTTTGCCGCAAAGAGACGACGATATTGCAGCAACAGGGCAACCTTGACAACACCGAGGCCGGTGTAAAATATGATGATTGCAACATACCATCGCTAGCGGGTCGAAGTCATTGTTAGTCAACGGTTCATCCAGAGGCAGACGTGGACAGGGTGAGAATACTGAACTTGATAGAACCTCAGGGTCATATTCTCTGTGAGCATCCAAGCATGCTTTCCCAGGCCAGTCTGTGCCATTAGACATTGGAATACCGCCTCAGCGATCACGAGTAGCTGATCTCCCCCAAAACAGGTCAGCTCAATGGCACACACTTCAGAGGGCATAGAGGCTGGCAAACGTACCATGGCGGCCAATATCGCCCAGTCATCAATACCAAACGACTTCACTACAGCCCATCGTGTGTAGAACCGCACGCTGACCACCAGAGCCGTAACGGGGACAACGGAGGCAACGACGTAGACTGCCACATGGCTTCTGTCGTCTCGGGGTAGTGAGCCCATCGGAACCACAAGATCAAGTGAAGCCATATCGGCTACTTAAGTATGGTGGCGACGATACGTCCATGCATTCGAAACAGCATATCCCACAGGTTTCAAACTACATGCACATCATCGCTCTGCTTCAGTAGACTTTATAATCATGTCCCAAGTGCGATCTTTCTTCCGAGTCAGTCACCGCCAGTCCGGCAGGCAGCACTGGCATGTTTTTGGTGACTGAACATGGGAGGCGTCGAGGGTTGCATCTTCTGCACGGACACACATACGTGTGAGGTTGCAATCTGGGGAACGGAGGTATAGGGCGACCTGGAAAAGATTATCCATGTCGCTACAACGTCCCATAAAGAATGTAATAATCTCCAACCAATTATAGCTTATAATTTATCCTTTCCTTAATTAAATTTACATTATTATAATATACTTAGGATATATTATTATAAATAAGCTACCTTTTTCCTTTTTATTTCTACCTTAAAAAGCTGGTATTATTTTTATGGTGATGCATAGATAAGAAAGGAGAGTTAAGGGACCCTTTGCTAACGCCACGGAAGTCATGAATTAGGCTTCTTTGTTAAGTTTCCCTGTATATGTGCATTGCAAATAGTAAGAACTCTGGTGTGGCGTCGCATCACAACCTCGCCGGCACCCGCGGTCCTGGAACACTTGCCGCAACTCAAAGTTGTGCCTCGAGCTGTCACTGTTACCCCATGAACGAAGCGTGATTGGTGGTTCCTCCCGAAAGTCAACTTTAACTCGAATTTGATGCACGCGAGTCTTTTGGTTGTGTTCACAAAACTCTCTTTCCTTGATCTTGATGGCCAGCAAGCGGTGGGATCTAGCTGCCCTGTCACCGTGAATACACATCATGATGGCCATAATGCAACCCGTTGCCCCCCCCCCCCGGCGTGAGCAAGAAAGAAGTGAGAACGTAGCACATGATAAAGCGTTGCGATCAAGTGACCAGGGCGCAAAAGTCAAATTGTAAACTATACTCCCAGAAGCGAGTGGATGCTTTGAAGTCACACTTGCTACAGATGTCTTTTCTTTCCCCTTGGAGTACATCAAGGGTAATTATATAGGGCGACCTAAAAAAGAAGCCTAATTCGTGATTTTTATGGCATTAGCAAAAGGTTCCTTAACTCTCCTATCTTATTTAGATATAATATAATAATAAAATTAGCTTTTTAAAGCAAAATTAAGTATTAAAAAAGTAGCTTTTTTATAGCATTATCTTAAATTTATTATAATAATGTAAATTTAATTATAAAAAGGATAAATTAAAGGTGTTAATTAATTAAATAGGGTTATATTCTTTATAATGAGGTGTAGCAATATGGATAATCTTTTTTAGGTCACCCTGTATTGCGCGTTCTCGCGAGGTATAAAAGCAGTAACTGGGCCTGGCAAAATTAAAAATTCAGATTTGAAGTGGGTGTTATTGCTTGAATCTGGCCGCAAACTTGAAAGAGTTTAAAGGGCATCGTTTTTATAGATGTAAGCCCGTGAGCCCTTTTTAATACACCCCTTGTTACACAAACAGTCATATCATAAAGTGATTAAGAAAGTCTCATTCTTTAACGGCGTCCTATAGTTTAATGTGAAGATTTAAAACTAACTAAGGAGAGTTGGGCTTTTTATAACATTGAAAATATTGCCTGAGTTAATTAAAATTCTCCATATAACGGTACGGCTCCGTAGCACTTACATACTGCTTAGGAATTCCAACAGCGATTGGAAATTCTGGTCTTTTGGCCGAACGGTCTATTTGGCTAAGCAGTAGATAGATTCGTGACACTCCACCTGTAGACGCTTCCGTTATGTGGGCTGAGGACGATTCTTCAAGGGAGCAACTCCAGCATCGAGAACAACCCATCCTATGTGCCGGCCTCTTTGAAGTGATCGAAAGTCCAGTTTGGATACTTTCCGAAGCCATGGGTTCCACGAAAGAATTTCCTTGCTTTTTTGAAGTCAAGATCTGGCCCATGGGGCCGATCTCTTGAAATCGGTTTGTCGATACCCTATAGAAACTTCTGTCAGCTTCAGACCAGTTGTTGCCGAAAGCTTGTTTCCCACGAGGGCATGTTGGTAATTCCTGGACGCCTGGGGAGCGCGCAGCATTGGAACTCTGGGCTCCACTGAACTAATTCTCATCATGTGACTTACCTGCGATTGACGGAGTGCCTCGGTTGGGGTGAATATCTGGAGACCGCCCCGGGATAATCGGCCGGACACCGTGGTCGAAAACCCGATAGCCCGGAAGATTCCAATTATATCATTCCATGGAACCGTGCCCGGCCTCGAGAGCCCATCAGTCGTCATCAAACTCTTTAAAAGCTCGTAGTTTTTGGAGTCAAGCTCGATCTTTGGATACTGTCCCGCCGGGTCAGGGGCAGTGTTGGGGACGGCAGCAGGGAGCTCGGGCTCTCGCTCTACTAATTGTCGGTACCGTTCTGCTCGTTCTCGCCGGCGGTCGGTTTCTGGTCGTCGCGGAGGTGTGACAACGCGTGGGCGCCGGCGCGTCGGCGGAGTGGTCTTTTTCACGCCTACGGCAGTGACAGTCAGCTATAAAATCGATGACAGGTACGTATTGTATGGAAATTGGATGTGATAGGACACTATCTGCCTATAACCTGTCAAAGAACTCTTGAGACAGGAAGCAGGCATGGCAGATATGCCTGCATGGGGCGAACACCGTTTTAGAAAGCCACTCACCATCATCGGTCGTCTTTTTCTCTGGAGTTCTCATAGCGGGGGGTTGCCTTCTTGGTGGTGTAATGACTGAAAGGCCCGCTAGCATCCCGGTCGGCGTAGGAGGGTCGACTGGGCCAGAAGGACCAGGAGGTGTAGAAGGCGGATTCGCTTCATCTTGGGGAGAAGTCTCAGGAGGTGGAGGAGGGTGGTCGAGAGCAACGTCGGCGCCGTTGTCTGCCGTCGCAAGTGGGATGGCGTTGTTCAATTCTGTGATAGCGTCTTCGGAGAGCCTGCTTCTCAACGAGAAAAGGCTGCAGATCCGCCCAAAGAGCTGCCAAGTTTTGCTCTGACGCTTTCCTTGTAGCCGCATGTTCTCGACGCTTCGCGTCTTGTTGATCGTCCTCAATGTCCGGCTAACGAAGTGTCAGCAAGATGTTCTGCGTGTGTGCCTAATAGATAGGTATGCATCAGATGCTACAGAGGTCCCCCATAGCAGCGCATAATACCTATCTGGTTTGTATACCAACCAGCCGCACTGATATGAGCTTTGGGGTCGGGAAGAGCTCGTGGAACCTACATAGTCGAACTTGAGATTGGGATTGGGGATCATATGTTTCGACACAATGGCTTTAAATGCTCTATCCATCGGGTTGATTGCGCGAAGCCTGTCTGAATGCGAACTGTAATTTTTCCGCTCCTCTTCGTCGTAGGGATCGTAGATTCGAGCGAGATATTCTCTTTCCCACATCCTTTTTGTCGCCAGAAAGGCGCCCATGGCGTCGCGACTTTCCTCTGCCTTGTCAGTCGCAAAGTTCGTCATCCACCTTTCTCCAGTCTCTTTCCTCTGACAGAGGGTCACGATTTCATCCGCCCAGCCGTCGCTTTCGAAACTGATCGCATCATACACGTCTTTTTCCCTTAGTGCCTTGAGGAGTGAGATAAGCGAGGATTCTTCGTTATCCTTGGGAAGCCGTTGATTCCCCACAGTTTCCGGAATTGGATTGTTTTCATCAAACGAGGCGTTTCTGAAATATTTCCTCAGACCTTGAGAACACGCAAGCGTTGTTCTCAGATTCTCAAGTTGTGAGCGGGTCCTCAAGACGTTGCAGAGGTAAACGAGCAAAGAAATATATCTGTTGAAGTCGGGCTCCTCTTTGTCGACCTCTCTTGCCAAAACCGCACAAGTTCTCATGGCGAAGGACCAGGCGTCCAGACCTTCTGTCAGGTCATGAAGAGCCTTGATGAGATATGTACCAACCATTTCGGGGTTCCTCAAGTTGTTATTATAAGCCGCCTGCCAAGCACCAATTAACGAGAGTCCGCTCCTAATGGCTGCGTTACACAGAAAGTTGACACGACTTACCCATCGATGTTTTTCGTTATTGAGGGAATACGCGATCTCGTGATGTGAATGTTCGCGTATGTCGGAAATGTGATTGTACAACAACTGTGGGCTTGATTTCAGACCCCTGAGCCGGGCCGCATAGGAATTCGATTGCCGATAGCAGATACCAAGCACCATGAGTGTCAAGTTGGTGTTCATCGCAGTGTAATGCATGGTTTCACGGAGAAAACCGACATAGGTACCTAGTTCCGTCTCATACTTGGGTGTTCCAACATCCTGGGGATCTGGAGACTCAGGCAGCCATTTCTCTTCAGTCGTTTCGTTAGCGACTTTGTACGACTGCCCGAACCCAATCCTTAACACCATTGATTGCAGGAAATGGTATATTCTGCGCTGATTCACCATCGCTTGAATAGCTGGCACTTCGGCCCAAACGCCTCCTGCTTCCTGTAGCGCTATGACCTCCTCCTCATCATCAGGGAAATACCTAGTGCCATACTCGTCTCCCTCGTCTGATTCGCCTGTCATTGTCACCACGGCCATTCCACGCTGGTAGAAATAACTGCGCTCCAGGTCGACGAGGCCTTCATTTGCCGCAATAAATTTGTTATCTCGGTAACAGTCGAGTGTAGCGAACTGACCGGGATGCTCCTGCGCCCTATAAGACAGCATTGTCAGGAATGACTCGTCGCGCTTGGTTAAGTCTTCTTGATTAAAGTCTGGCCATCGTTGGTGATTTTCGTCCAGGCCTGTCTTTAACGGCAGTAGCTTCCTGTACTTGTTTGAATTGTCTCTCCATGGTGCCACTTCCCTGGAGCACTGCAGTCAGCAATTTGCACCAGCAAACGGACCCCCGCATACAATTCACGGATAGAGATGAGCTCGGGTGACCGTAGTGACTGTGTACCGAGACTTGTAGTCAAACGCCGCGCGGTAAGAGTATATGATGTCCAGAATGGAAAAAGCAGAACCAAGAAAAGCAGCTCCCACACAGTGATGATACGTGTTCTTGAAATGTACTCACATTAAATCTGGACGATGGTCTTTGGGCATTTCAGAGTTCTTTTCAGAGTCCCTTTTCCCAGATTGTTGCCAATTTGCGGCCAAGAGGTCCATCCGCTGTTGCTTGTTCATAGCGAGCCATCGGTTCACAACTACAGCCCGGTTCTGGTCGAAAAAAGTCTTGAACGACTTCCATCGGCTTTCAACTTCAGCCGAATACTCCAACCTCTCAAGCTGTTGAGACGACATCTCGAAAGCCAGCTTTTCCGTCCTCAATTAACCAATGGGAACAGACCAGGCTCAAGGAATGAAAAGCATCAGTAAAGGCGCGGGGGTGTTCCTCGAATGGATGGGTTGGGTACGAGTCCAAGCCTTGTATTCCCGAAGAGCTGATAAAAGGGAGAAACTTTTACCTTTCCTCCACGGAGCATTATCAATACGCACTCCTTTGACACTGGAGGAGACACAATTGTTCAGGTCTATAGGCGGTTCCCTTTGTGCGAAGCCGTTTCCGTCGCATAGGCCAACTTTTCATTATGGCCTCAGTCTGCACTCACTTCCATGACAATAGATTCGGCGCTTTGTGCGAGAAGTGACGTTGAAATCCCTTAATCCGGCAGGGAGGGATTCTCCACCCTTTCGTTGAACAGATCGAATATATCATTATCCACAGGGTGCCGAGCTCGGCTTACGAATGGACAGGTACAGAGAGGACGGGGTTGGAGTTGCGTATCGCTAAGTCCGCAGGCTGCGGATTGTTCGAAGGGCCAAATCCAAAATTTCTGGTTATAGCATAAGCTGGTTTGACGACTCAGCAACAGCATCTGACAGCATCACCTGCTGTAGGTATAAGTCTTGTAAATAAACCTTGGTCTGGCTGTCCTCAATCGATGAACCAAAATATTAACGCATACCGAACTTCACAAGGGAAGAGTGGTAGAAGAGTGATAACTCCCTCCTCAATACGTCAGAGCTCGGGATTATGTGTCCAGCTGCATGTAAATGCAGTTCCGAAGATCCTCTGGCTGATTTGGAATCGACTTTTCACCATACTGCGCCCCTGTGGCTGATTGCATGGTCACTAATGCGGAATATAAACGGCAGAGAATGTGCATTCCAAGCGAGAAGCCGTAACGTCGCTCTCAATTGCGGGTTACTGCAGTGTTCTATTTTGTAGTATGCTACCCTCGGTCCTGGCCAGGGGTGACTGACTTCGAAATACCTTCTCTGTCTAATGTGATATTGCACAAAGGGGAAAAGCCTGTGTATGTACCCATCGAACGTATCGCCTTGTGTGTCTGCATCCACGTGGGGACTACCGCAAACAGCGACCTCACCAACATGAAAGCCGAACCACCACGATTAGCTGAATCTACATATGCCAGTGTATCCTGAAGCTGCGCCGGCGGTATTGGCGACGGGACGAGGACGGGAGGTCTTGGGGGGCTGGAAACTCTTAGTCAGTCTTGGAGAGTGATTTAGTATTAACCAAGCTGAAATGGTCATGTTGATTGAATTGCCACGGCGGTTGCACAAGAGTTTGTCGGACTTGACTGCTGGCACGTTCCGAGTCGGCGCTCCCGCGTCATGTCGCATTCCCGTCACCAGTTGATCAACAATCGCGAACGCAAGTATGTATGGGAGTATTGTTTTCCGTTCTCCTGCGTTTAGGTCTCCCAGGCCGAAAGAGCCCAACTGGTATTTGGGTCACTCACCCAGACCAATGCGCGCTTCATTAGTTGCTCTGCAAAGGAATCTAGGGACTTTGGTACAGAATGTGGCACCTAACCCCGCGCCCAAGATTGTGGGACGAACGAGTTGTCATCCCTCTCCCGTGGTCACCCAAACCACCAAACTCAGCACTGCTGCCCAAAGCCGAATTAAACCATGGATGAGCGCGCCAAAATCCCCGTGACGCTCCCACGCGACAACCCAACCCAGAGCTACTGGCAAGACCCTCCCGACGACATCGCCGACCTGAGGACGACCCCCAACCTGCCCGGGAGGGCAGACGTCCTCATCATCGGGAGCGGCATCACCGGCGCCACCGTCGCATGGAACCTGCTGCAGGATGGCAGTGGCGGTGGTATGAGCGGCATTAGTAGCACGCCCCCTAGCATCGTCATGCTCGAGGCGCGCCAGGCCTGCTCCGGCGCGACGGGGCGAAATGGTTAGCTCAGCCCTTTCCGTGCCCCCCGATATAGTGACCACGGGCTGACTGTGCACTCTCGCCCGACCTCAGGCGGCCACACAAAGGCGGCCAGCTACCGGTCCTTCCTCGCAAACGCCGACGCCCTGGGCACCCCCGCCGCCGCGAGGATCGCGCGCCTCGAGCTCGCCAACATCGACGCCGTGCACTCCTTCGCCAGGGAGCACGCCATCCCGTGCGACTCCAACCCCTGCCGGACCGTGGACATCATCTACGACCAGCCGCACTGGCGCGAGGCCCAGGCCGTCGCGGCGATGCGCGCCGCCCTCGGGCCGGACGACCCCGCGGCCGAGTATGCCTTCCACGACAGGGAGGAGGCGAAGGCGCGGTTCTACTGCGCGGGCGCGGACCCGGAGCCCGTCGGGGCGGTCAGCTACGCCGCGGGGAGCATCTCGGGTTACGGGTTCGGAGTGGGCGTCCTGAAGCTGGCCCTGAAGAGGGGCCTGAACCTTCAGACGAACACGCCGGCCGTGAGCCTGGGCCGGTGCCCCGACGGCAGCGGGAGGTGGGAGGTCGGTACGCCACGCGGGAAGATCATCGCCGACAAGGTCGTCCTCGCCACGAATGGATACTCGGCTCACCTGTGGAAGGCGTTTCAGGGAGCCATCGTCCCGTTGCGCGGACAGGTCACCGCCCACCGTCCCGGGAGCAACATGCCTGGCGACGGGCTGCCTACGACGTACTCGTTCATCTACGAGAACGGGTACGAGTACATGGTCCCTCGGCCGCCCGGGTCCAAACACGCAGGCGACATCGTGATTGGCGGCGGGCTGGTCAAGGCCCCTCACGAGGGCCTGTTCGAGTACGGCACTACGGACGACACCACAATTAACGAGGACATCAGCGCGCACCTGCGCGACACCACGGCGCGGTGCTTCGGGCGGAACTGGGGCGAGGACCACCCCGACGGGAGGATCAGGAGGGAGTGGACGGGGATCATGGGATACAGCCCAGACGGGTTCCCATTCGTGGGCGAGGTGCCCCGGTCGAGCGGCCTGTGGGCGAGCTGCAGCTTCCAGGGGCACGGCATGGTGCTCTGCTGGATGTGCGCGCGCGCGATGGTGCAGATGATGCGTGGCGACGAAGATCTGGACGGGTGGTTCCCGCGCGAATTCGTGATCTCCGAGGAGAGGCTTGCGAAGCGATTCCGAGGCCGGTTACATACCTCTGCAGAACCCGTGCAAGACCACCGGCGGGCATGAACTTGGGCCTTCGCCCGGCCCACCTTGACCGCTGCTTCATCTCGGCGGGAAGGGTCAGTTGGTGCCCGGGAATAACGGTTAAAGCAAGTTGTTCTCGAAACTCTACCAAAGTGGTCGAGGGCGATGTCATGGTGCGATGTCACTCTGTGCCGATCCCGATCCCGCCCTGAGGGGTCAGCCCGAGGCCGAGCAGGACTTTACGCCACGAGGAAACGGGACCGGGCCTTGTACAGTGCCTGAGTGCCCAATCTTTTATGAGTGATGATCACGCAACCTTCACTAGCCTACCAGTCTGTGCCCAAGATGGCTTACAAACGCTTGTATAACATAAGGCAAAACCACACGAGTCGTCAGGCGCTGACAGGTCGCGAGGCAGGGCCAAGGGTGCATCCTACACTGGAGCTGACTGATCCGGACCCGGGAGCCCGGCTCCGAAAAGCCAAAGTTGTTCGGGAGGGATCAGCTTTGCAGGACAGCGTGCCCTGCTCGCCCCAGGACCACGGAACGAGGGTCGCATCGCTGTGTGCTGCGCGCAAGGACGTGTGCAAGGGAGGGAATCCTTCCCGAACTTTCAATGTTGTGTCTGTTCGTCGGCAGGTCGGCTACAAACCCCCCTCCCTTCCCCCACCCCCTCTTTTTTCCCACGAATCCTTCGGGACGCTCACCACCGATCAAGGAGCTGTCCCAGGCAGCTGGGTGCTTCCCATGGGGCCTTGAGGTGGGCGGTGTCATTTCATAGTAATGGAGGGGGTCAGAGCGAGACCAGCCAACTGGAATTCAGCTTCTTGGAGACAGTCACATTACCGTCATATGAACTCTGCTCGATGTCCAACAACGGTCGTCAGCTCGGGTTGACTAGATTCATCTAAATTTCCCATTTAGGTAGGGCTTGAGACCATGCACGTTGGGAGCGCTAGACCGTGCAGCGAGCCAAAGTTCCCACCTCATTCCCGGAACAAATTCCGTGGGCAGGGCTGTGCCAGAAACATCCAACGTAGATGTGTCTAGATTGGAACTCAGAGCAATCGCAAGGACCAGGGCCCTTATCTCTGCGGTACAGGAGGGGGGTTCTGAACGGCTTATCTCTCAAAACTCATGTGCAGGTCTAAAAGGCCGGGCCTTTTTCTCCATGTTTCTTGCGAGGAGGAGGAGGGCTGACGGCGGGAGGAGATTGAGTGTTCGGCCTGGCTGACCGCATTAGGCCTGGCCCTGCAAGCCTGGCTGAGGGACGGGATTTGCAGAGCAAATGCCGAGAGCGAGAGGTTAAGTTTTCGGTTGCGACAAGAAACTCCACTGAACGGCCGGATCCGGCTCCGTGGCAAGCGTGGAGGTGTTGCATCGGGAAGATTGAGAGAGGGGGTGTGGCTACTGAAGCTTTTTGTGCAAAGAGAGCGAGCGGCAGAGAGAAAGGGGCGGAAGAGAAGGATCAGAGGCAAAAGACGAGAGTTGGGCAGACGCAGATCTCCTGTCCTGATGCGACCTACCGACCACCGGGAACGTGGATGCCTCCAACTTGCGTAAGGTTTGAATGCTTGAGGCGCGCGCAGCAGTGATGAGCGTGCGCACAAGCACAAGCACAGGCAGAGGCAGACGCACAGGCGGCAAGCAAGTGTGAACGATCGTCTGTTTCCAGTGTCTCACAACCCCCTCTGGCCGTTGATTGCGGATCCGCGTCAGGCTGCATGGGCCACAGTACAGCGCTGCACAGTAGTCTAATAACAAGGTTTCCCGGGGGGTGGATGGATGTTGGGTGGTTAGAGGGACGATGCAACGCTGGTGAGTGTGTGTCGACCGTGTCCCCGCCTGTCCCGAACCGGAAAGCCTGGCTACTGTGTGTGTTCAACATGGGGCTCGCATCCAACGTCCGACACCGCATGAGGCTGTCCTGGCCCTATCAACTTGGCCATGCCCAGGCAATTGGGATGGGTGGGGTGGATGGTGGCACCTCCGGATCACCAGTGACGACGGACAACGGCATATCATGTGCCATGCTCATGTGCATGCCTGGGTAATATAACAAGTCGCGCTGACCTGGCTTTGCTGGCCATAGACTGTTGTGCACGTAACTACCTATAGCAGGTAGGCAGTTAATGCGACCCGGGTTTGGCAGAAATACCGCCGAGATTAAACACGTCCCATGTTTGAGCCGCGTCTGTTAGGGTCCGGCTGTCGGCTTGGCCCAGGTGTCTGGAAACCTAACTGCGTGTGTGGGGGCATTTGTTGGTGCCGCATCCGGCGTGGCGGCAGTGGGCAGGGCCAAGTAACTCGTCAAGAGACATGGCTTGCATGCAACAACAGGCGGTGTCTCAGTGTCGGTCTGACACGGCCACGGTCGCCACCAGAGACTGCTTGCTGCTGTGTCCGTGATACCACAATACATATGGCCCTGTTGTGTACCGGTGTAGCCGTGTGCTCTTGCCGTAGTACGTGCTCTGCTGCTGCTCAACCATCTCAGCGAGGGGAGCCGGGCGGGTACCTAGTGTAGACACTGTGATGGATCAGCCTGAACAGCCCTGCAGGCGACCGCCACGCCGGGAACCCGATCCTGGGACCGCCCCTGCTCGACTTCCCTGCTGCAACCCATCCCACTGGGACCCGTGGATCTTGCTTCCTCCCGCTCCCTCGGCGCCTATCGGTGGGCCGATACCCACTTTGCCCTTCTTGCGCCTGTGTGTGCGTCCGAATCCGAATCTGACTCTGACTGCCTGCCTGAACTCTCTTGATCTGACTGGGAACCCCCTCACCTGCTGCTTACTTACCAGAACGAGCCGTGTGTGCGCGCGCGTGTGTTTGTGCAACCCGGGCATGTGCTTGCCCAGTCTAGCCTAGGGGTTGATGGGAAAAGTGGGTTGATTCTTCGGTTTCCCCCTCCTGCCAAGTCCAGGCACGACAGACTGCGGTCGACTAGCTCCTGCTGCAGTCCCGGATCTCCTACTTTGGCTGGGTTGTCGCGTCTTTACACCGCTCCAGACCGAGACGGCGGCTGAACGGGAGCCCCCCCCCCCCTTCTCAAGGTGTCCCAACTGGCTGACAGCCCGGAGCCTTCATTTCACAGGACCGAGCTAGAGCACAGCCTTTCTGCATGCATGCGAGAGCCACCTTGGGACTGCAGTATGCTGCAGTATGCAGGCAAGTGTGTCTCATCCGTCCCAAGATGCAGGGAGCCAGCCTGCCTCGTCTACACCGGCTCGAGCCTGAACCTGTCATCTCACTCTAGGTACCTCAGGTTCTGCAGGAGGAGGCATCCTCTCTTCAAATATCCTTCTCCATGCTCTCATGCCCTGGGACAGGGCTGATGACGGCCACAGGTACATAGTCCGAGGTTTTCCTCCACCCCCAGCCACTGGCAGAACAAGTAGCACACGCGAATGGATTGGGCCAGCAGCACCTGGGCAGGTAGACTGCTAGACTAACAAGTCCGCCCCATTGTGCTCCGTAGTAAGCACCTCGAAGGACCAGGATCCCAGTCATCCACCCCCTTGAGCTGTCCAATCCCTGGCCCGACTGACAGACGGGGGCACCTGAACAAAGAAACCCACCTACCCGACCCTATGGATCATAAATTGGCGCTCGCCCAATGGGTTCCTGCCATAAGTCAACCCATCCTTTGACGACACCACCACCGCTGCCACCCACAAGCGAGGCCATACTTATTCCAGCCACCAATACAGCACGGTACTTCGTACCCTCGACAGATCGGCTGCTTACTCTCACTTGACCCGACTTGGTTTTTTTTCCTGCTCACTCAGACGGACAGACCCTCCGGCAAGAGCCTCACGCCAGCCTTATTTCATCTGACCACCGGCCCCTCGACGACATAGTATTATCTCATCCAAATTCCGGACAGCCATGCAGCATCCACTTACAAGATAGTACTGGTGGAAAGTCACAGTGCAGAGGCAGCGCACTCCAGACCAGGCTTCCTGCACATGACAATAATGCTCTCCCCTCCCAGCTCGGCATCCAGTTCGATCATGGACCAGAAAAGAGCAGCGGCAGGATCATCGTCCCAAGGAGAGGCACAATTCCCCGGCCAAACAACCTCCAGTTACTGCCCGCCAACCAGCGGAGCAGACTACTACCACAGCAGTAACAGCACCTTCCCACCACCATCAGGTACCGCCGTCGGGGCCCCTGAGCCCTCGCCCCCACCGTCCCTGCTAGGCCAGGCGGCCGCCGGGGGCCAGGCCGGCTCCTCCTCCTTCACCAGCACGTGGATCACGCCCGCATCCACCGAGGAGCTCGCAGCCGGCGGCGACGACGACGACAACAGCTTCGCCGACACGGACTTTGTGTTCGAGAACGGCCGCAGGTACCATGCCCCCGCCTCGGGCAGGGTCGTCTACCCCCTGCCCAACGACGAGTCCGAGCAGGAGCGCGACGACATGAAGCACAAGCTGGCCCTGTGGATGATGCACGAGAAGCTGCTGTACGCACCCGTCGAGGAGGCGTTGAAAAGGGGCGGCATGGTTTTCGACCTGGGTATGTTTTACCCCTTCTCTCTATCTTGACCCTTCGGGGCCTGGCTTTTTCAAACCCTGCGCACAATTCCCATCTGCCCCTTTATGTCTCAATGGCCAGGCCGGCCTGTGTATTTCCTTTTTTTCTTCTCGTCCCCTGCCAGTTACCCGTCTGCGGCGTCTCGCCCGTCAGTACGCACTATCAACCACATCGGCAGGGCCTGGGTCCTTGGCGAGCCGAGCTGAACAATATGCCACTCACGTGGCTTTTTTCTTTTTGGGCGTGCCACAAATCAGAAACAGAGGGCTGACGTATCGTGTAACGAATCAACAGGTACCGGGACAGGGGAGTGGGCCATGGAAAGTGAGTGCGACGATACTTGTGTTTTGCATCCCTCTTCTGCTTCTCCCGTCCAACCCATACTGCTGGGATGTGAATGTCTCGGAGGACCTTGACCTGTGCTGGCCGGGGAACATGATGTACCCGGGACCGGGAGGGGGAGGGAATGGCTTCGGAATACCGCATGCCGTCAAACATGGTTGTGTTTCCCCGAGTGCTCTTGATCAGCCCATCGTGGCCACGTGCATTCTGGTCGGTGTCCCTGTCATCATCAGTGAGACAGCATGGATGGAAGTCCGCTTTGGGCCACTTCCAGCCTTTTGTTGTCCAAAAAGGGGGGAATAGGCCATGGCCGGCCGCGGTCATAGCCCCCAAATCCAACAAGACCTGCACAAGTGCTGCTTTGGTCTTCTGCCGGAAATGGGTGAAACCCACATTCTGTACCCCAACCCCTAGAAAGCCTTGCTAGCAGTGTGGTACTGCCAGGAGAGAACGGGCAGCTGCGGTAGCGAAACTAGAAACAGGTGAGCTGACGACTTTGCAGTGGCTCAGAGGTACGGGAAATCACAGATCTTCGGCTGCGACATATCACCAATACAGCCGGCTTATGTCTGGGACAATGTCTTCTTCTCGGCAGACGACTTCGAGGAGGACTGGACGGACTACCCCGAGAACGCCTTCGACTATATACACATGCGCTACACGGCGTTCTCCATCAAGGACCCAGCGGCGTTATTACAACGAGTAATGAAGTACGACCCTCCCCTAGTGTTCTCCAAGAGATCGATAAAGAGCGGGAAAGAATACTGTCAAATCATGTAAATCGAGAATGAAAACGCTAACACGGCCCTCCCCCCCCCCCAGACACCTCAAGCCAGGCGGCTACATAGAATTCCAAGAGCTGACCTACTGGCCCCGGTCAGACGACAACACCCTGACGGAAACAACCCCCTACGCCTTCCGCGACTTCTGCTACTACGTGCAGCTGGGCGTCGCCAACCTGGGCCTCGACCTGCACATGATCAACCGCCTCCCGCAGGGGCTCCGCGACGCGGGGTTCGACGACGTCACCGAGGCCCGCCACAAGCTGCCCATCGGCCGCTGGGCCCGCGACCGCCGCCAGCGCCAGAAGGGCATCTGGTTCCTGCGCATGATCCTCATGGAGGGCCTGTCCGCCATCGCCAAGAGGCCCCTCACGCAGGGCCTCGGCTGGAAGGCCGAGCAGGTCGAGATGTTCCTCGTGGACGTGCGCAAGAGCCTTAATGATACCAGCGTGCATGCGTATTTCCCCTTTAGCGTCGTCTACGGGCGGAAGCCGCTCGAGACTGCGCCGGCGGCGGCGGCATCGCGATAGGGCAATCAAGGCTGGGATATGGATGACGCTTGCGAGAAATGTCACTCGATACATGAGGACTGGACAGTAAATAGTGCGTGAGTGGTGGATAACTTGAGATACCCAATGCCGCCGCAGAAGCCGGCATATGACAGGAGAGACCTGCCTGCATGTAGGACTCTACAGAACTCTACACTGATATTTAACTTTGGTGGAAGCGTGGACGGATAGTCCGCCCGTGACCCTGTGAGCCTGACGATATAGGAGAACATGAAGTATGAAGAATGTACGGGACGTACAATAAAAGACTATTATCTCAAGGAGTAATACTGAAACATCGCTGGAATTGTTTGCAATCTGATGCGGTGCCCAATGGTAACACGTACATACATTTTACGACATACCCTTGACCTCACCCTCACTTCAGCAGATGCCCATCGGCCTTCGCACCCGCCGGCCTCTTCCAGTGGACCTTGACGCCGCCCCAGCTGTGCTGGCTGTACTCCTCCTGGACCTTGCTGCACGTCTTGAGCCCCCAGTCCGTGACCCCGACCATCAGGCAGCTCTCGAACATGAAGGCGCAGCTCCCGGCCCCGACCTTGGCCGGCTTGAGCTCCGCGTCCCGCGCGCCCTCGTAGCTGTCAGCGTCCGGGCCGTGCCCGCTCATGACGTTGTGCAGGCTCGCGCCGCCGGGCACGAACCCACCCTTGCCGCCCTTCTTGGCGTCGTACCCGCCCTGGATCAGCCCCATGAACTCGCTCATGGTGTTGCGGTGGTACCACGGCGGGCGGAAGGTGTCCTCGCCGACCAGCCAGCGCGGCGGGAAGATGACGAAGTCGGCGACGGCGGTGCCCACGTGGTCCGTCGGCGCCGACAGCACGGTGAAGATGCTCGGGTCCGGGTGGTCGAAGCTGATGCTGCCGATGGTGTTGAAGCGGCCCAGGTCGTACTTGTAGGGGTAGTAGTTGCCGTGCCACGCGACGACGTCGAAGGGCGTGTGCGGCTGGGACGTCTGGTACAGGCTGTTGGCGAACTTGGCCGTCACCGTGTACGAGTTGGGCCCGTCGAACGCCACGCTGCCGCAGTCCTCGTCAAAGGACGCCAGGGGCGCCTGGAAGTCCCGCGCGCTGGCGAGCCCGTTGGACCCGATGGGGCCCAGCTCCGGGAGCGTGAAGTGGCCCTGGTACAGCTCGAGGGCGTAGCCGCGCGCGGGGCCCGAGGGCAGGTAGACGGCGAACTTGACGCCGCGCGGGATCACGGCGATCTCCATGGGCCTGACGAGCAGCCATCCCTGCTCGGTGCGGATGTCCAGCACGCCCTCCTGCGCGACAAGCAGGAAGTCACCGTCTGCGGAGTAGAAGGCATGTTTTGTGTCCATCGACTTTGCCGCCGCGAAGATGTATATGCCAATTCCTGACTTGACCGTGGGGTCTCCGGCGCCGGCGACCAGGTGCAGCCCGCTCACAAAGTCCGTGTCCCCCGAGCCTTGGTCGAAGGGATCCCAACGGAGCTGGTTGGGGATATAGTGCATCTTTGTCGCAGCCGACTCCTTGAAGTCTACGGGCTGCCCATTGCCGTGGCCATTCGTGGGCTGGGACGAGGCCGGCTGGAAGGGCGGATGCGAGCAGCTAGGGAGGATGCGGTAAAGCCATGTCTGCTTGTTCTCGTGTCGGGGTGCGGTGAAGGCTGTACCGGAGAGCTTCTCAGCGTAGAGACCGTGTGGCGGCTTCTGTGGGGAGTTTTGGCCGACTGGGAGGGCATCCGGGACAGCCTCGGTTCTGTTGTCAGAAGAAACAACGCGTGGTTAGCCCTAAGAACTGTCGACAGCGCCCCAGAGATCGCAGCAGATAGTTGGTGTTTGTACTTGCTCGAAGTAAGAGTCGAAGCCGTTCTGGTAACGGTACTTCTCCTTGAAGTCAAATTCTGTGACAGGCATTATGATGCGGCTCCCTCTGGGACAATCAGTATTCTCTTGGGGGTGAAAGAGACTAGCGAGTAGATGGTGAAAGTGCCTTGGTGATGGTCAATCAACCAGCAGCAGTCTGAAGGATGTCGTTCTCCAAGGAGACACTGGAGCAAGCACCAGCGGGAAGTGTCGGCATCTTAAATCTGTAGACACAACAAGCAGCTCCCGACTCGTTCGGCTTCTGGATTGTGACGTCGCGGCGCGAGCTTGTCGGAGTGTCGACATTGAGTCCAAGTCTCCGACGGCTCGCCCCTTGGCACACGCCTCCGCGCCCATTCCGCACACGGCTAACACCGGAGAATGCGGGGTTGACAGCGCCCCGCACCTTCTATATACACCACAAAACGTCGCCGCACCATCAGGGACCCGCTTCTCCAGATCGAGGACAGGCACGTAATTGATACTGAAGCTGCTGCCCACACTGTTGAGCAGGTGGCTATGAACCCACAGAGCGGACCGGTCTCGAAGCGTGCGCTGTACTGACCACGCTGCAGTTCTCGAACTCAAGAGCAGTTCTCTTACACGACATCAATTGATTACAATGATTATTGGGGCTGAGAACACTATTGAATGAGTTCCATACCTTCCGTGTCTACAGTATTTACGAGGCCCCCCTATATCAGTGTCTGTCACCGTGCGAACGCAGGCTATGAAACGGAGCCTTACTGCCCGCATTTGAAAGCTTGAGTAGCGATCATGTTCTTCGATTGATTGCCGTGCTTTGCACGCTTTTTCCGGCGACGAGCTATTGTCTCTCTCGGATGAGGACTGGCATAGATAATACAGCAGTCCGCCGTGCCCAAGATGTTGTCAACACCAATGCCGCCCCACATGACGGGTTTCCAACCAAACCACGCCAGATCCACGCAAGACTCAATTTGGAAGACAGTCATTGGAAGTGGTTGACGGCCGTGGCGACACTTTTACTCCTCAGCAGCATTCTTCTTGTTCTTCTTCTTGCCTGACGGGGCAGCAACCACGCCGCTGTTGACCTGCAGGTGAACCACCAGCCTGGTCCATGACTCCTCCTTGTCCCACTCGAAACCAGCCAGGTAGGGCTTGTCGAGCTCGTCATCTGCCTGTTTGACGAATCGAGTCAGTAAATGTTTCAATTTGGTATGATATCATCTCGGCTACCGGGGAACACCTTCGGGCTTTGGTGCCTGGAGGGAGGAGCGGTACATACCCTCTTCTTGAATTGCTTGTGGATGGCATCCAGTGCATCCTTGATTGTCACGCCCTTGAGGTTCCGTGCGACGACCTCGAGTCCCAGTGGGAAGTGCAGGTCAATCTTCTTGACTGGTGGCTCCGTGAGCATCTTCTTCAGGATGTCCTTGTCTTCAACCGTTGATGGCGAGGTGTTGACCTTCCTGGAGGCAGGAAACGAGAGTCAGCGTCCGGGTCTGTATTTCACTGGCTCACACCAGGGATGGTGAGTCTGAGCGTTCAAGAAGGTCACTTACCATCCCGTCTTCTGTGTCTCGGGAGCTATTTGCAGCTCAATCTTTTGCTCCTCTGTCCCCATGCGTGTCAGCTGATGCCCAAGCTATGTGAGCTTTCGAGGCAGTGGAGAGAACGTACCAATGTCCTTGATATTCCACACGCCAGGCGCTGCGATCGAAGACATCCTAGGCTTCTTCGTATCTTTGGCATCCTTGTTGGCGTCGATGCCCTCGACGGCAGAGTCGACCTTGGAGAGTGCTTCCGTCATGTTGAGCGGGGTGATGTGAGGCTCTGGTAGAAGAGGCTGAGAGGGGTATTGAATGTAGTGGTCTGAACCGTCAGGTCACTTGTAGAGACCTAGGTGATGGTCAAGTGGTTGTGTGTTGCAAGAGTTGATGATTGATTTGCTTGATTGCTTGATGGCGATGGGTTTCAGGGAGAGCACGAGAAGAGGGGGAAGCTCGAATGAAGTACAAGAGGAGGGGAAGGTGGGAAGGTTATTCGGTTTGGCTGGCATTGGGTAATGGGCCGATCATGGCAGGCACGCATTGTCCAGGCTACGAAAGGGGCTATGGCGTGAGGGCGAGCGTGACTTCCCAAGCTGCGCCGTCGTATCCCCTTGTGCCCCTCTCCTCGCCAGAGAGCCTTGTCCGTCCGCACTCCTACCTCAGGCTACCTGCCTCACAGTGGGTGGGTACGAGACGGCAAGTACCTTGTCTCGGTCACTCTGTAGGTCTATGCCCCCAACGCTGCATGCTGCTGGCCCAAGAGGGTACTTGCATTGTTCCCTGAATTGGGTTTCGTCAGCGGTCAGGCGGGGTAATGCCCATCACAGTCAAGTGACCTCTGCCTCTCCCTGCCTTTGCCTCTGCCTAACAAAAGAGAAGAATATGGGGGGCAGTCCCGCCGTGCCCGTGGGGGGCTGTTGCAGCTCCAGCAGTTCCGTTCGAGCTTACTCCTTGCCCTGGTGTGGCCTCCACAGCTCATCTGGGCTGCCAGTCGACATCCATCGCCAGTCAGCCCATCGCGTGACCTGACCCTCACATCGAGCAAGGGTGGATCAGGAGCTTGCCCCCGCTTCTCTGCTAGCCCTTGCTCGCATACCACAGCAGGGGAGGGTTGCTACCCTGCCGCGGTGCTGCTACTGGTCTGCTTCGCGGAATGATCCTAGCCCAAGCCAGCTTGTCTGGGGAAAATCCGGGGTAAGACATGCAAGAGCAGCGAGACTGCCCCACTCACCACCCAACTTGAGTTCCTGCCAACGGAGCTACTGATTGGCCGTACCTGCTCGCCATGCCTACTGCAAGACAGCCCTCTGAGATCCGATCTCATCTTGCATTGGAATCTTGCTCTCATCTTCTGATCCAACTTTCTCAGCCTCTTTTTTCGCACATCAAAATGGTTTCCTCGACTTCGTTGCGAGAAGCTGATGCTCCTTCGGGAGGACACGGAAATACGTCACTGACCTCATGCGCGGCCCCGCTTTTCCGTCTCCGATTCTGGCCTGATCTGTGACCTGTCTGTGACGGGTCGTACCACCACTGCCCACCAGTCATCTGGAGCAGCCCGTGGGAGGGGCATCCGCCGCGATGGGCTCGAGATCACCTGTCGGTCTCTCTTCCGGCGCTTCCAAGGAGCGATGAGACCATTGCAGGCCCAGCTTCAGCATGCATCGCTTTCCACACCGTCAAGAACCGCGTCTCTGCTTCCAGAGGCCATTAGTGGGTTCTCACGATGGTCAGCGCACTGCACACGATTGACCAAGACACCTGGCTCGAGACCTTCGTTCATCGTCATCCTTTGTCAAGGGTATGGCATTTGCTAAACTGGGTGTTCACCTTCCGAGGCGTAGCTTCAACACACCATACCCGCCGCCTCCGCGGTGCCTGCCAATTGACAATCAAACAGCCAGCCATTCCGCCTTTTGAGCCTCAATATAGTCTGCAAACTTCGTAGGCTCTCTCCCGGTGAACTTCTTGATGTTGGCCACTGCTTGCTGAAACTCGGCTCTTGGCAGCATCGCCTCGGGGTCTCTCCATTTTTCGTAGGCTTGCAAGAGCTCCTTGGCCAGCGGCAGGGGCGTGTGCCGACTCATCCTGGCCAACCACTCTTCAGCACCAAGTGGTGTAGTGTCGATATCATCCCGGCCACTAACTCCCTTGATAGTCGCCCATGCCTCCTCCAAGGTGACGTGGTCTGGTCCGCACAGGAAGATGATCTCCTTGCCGTCTGAGGGCCTCTCTACCAGCACAGCACCTCCAACAGCACCAATATCGCTAGGGACGATATTATCAACCAGCGTATCCTCACAGGTAATGTTGGCCTTGGCAGGCTTCTCCGATTTATCAAGGCCCATGTTGTAGTAGTTGCTCGCGAAGTTTGCCGGCCTCAGGGCTGTGACGTAGGGGAACCCGATCTCCTCCAGCGCGAGCTCAACTTGGGCATGGCTGTACCCAATGAAGGGCTCAGGGGGGAACGAGCGGAGGTCTTTGCCTGGGCCGACACTCACGCTCGACAGAAAAACGACAGATTCGACGCCCGCATCCTTCATGGCCTTCAAGGACCCGCGCATGTGATCGTGAGACCCGAAGATGAGGTAAAGGTATGCTGCTTTCGCACCGGACTTCTTGACAGCCGTGGCCACAGAATCTGGATCAGTGAGGTCGGCCTGGACACGCTCGAATTTCCCCGACTTCTCGGCGTCGGCTGGGATCTCCGCGATTGCCTTCGAGGTGTTTCGCATCGCCAGCCAGACCTTGGCTCCTCGCTTGCTTGCCTCGAGCGCAGTTGACCCCCCAACTGCTCCGGTGGGTCCGAAGACAATGACGTTATCGTATCTAACAGTCATGATGCTCTGGAGGTGTTGTATTCTTTGGTGATGAAGAGAAGGCCGGAGGAACAGGTTCACAGCAATCTGTAGTACCGAAGCAGGGTATTTATTTTGCAAAGGTGGAATCGGTCATGTTGATTGTCCGTGGTGAATCTTCGCACTTAACGCCGGACGTGCTCGCATCATTGCGCGAATATGATGTAATTTGCATCCTTGACGTTCACCTGCGCAATAAGCACCCGGATTTGTAACGAATGACACCCGCGCATACACCCGCAATAAAATGCTATAGTGGCCAAAGAGAAGGACCCTCGGCTCCATCCACGGCGTCGCGGGGCTCGGACTTCGGTCTGAACGATTTGCAGTCCGATATTTCGCTTATCAAGACCGGACGAATGCGACCCCTACATACTCGCGCGGAATACCGAACCAACCTGGTTTGGTCCGAGTGTGCGCGAACGCAGGGTAGGGTGATATTTGAACAGGGCTATATATACTGCCCGTCACGTAGATAGTGGTGTTACTGGCGCTACAAACGGGGTATCCTACAATTTTGTAAGCCCCTGGTTCAAGCTGATGAAGCAAGTACTAGTAGATTGCAGACTTGAAGATGTCACTCATGACACTTCCGGCCACGACTTCACTCATACTGTAGTATCTAAAGTGACTCACAGAGGCCTCTGAATGTGGACACACACAGTATCATGACAATGGTCACGATATTTATCGAACTGATCCTGATTCCCTATTTCTTGGGGAAAGCCATCACCCCTCTGTATATGGCCACGGCGGATTTAACGGTGGTTTCAGGGTACCTGCTAGTATACCACGTTAATGTGATGAGAGAAAGGGATGCAACTCCCATACATATTCTACTATCACGCTGTATGAATGATGTGGCTGGAGGTTCTGTACTGAGTTGTACAGAACTCGTGTCGCCAACCTTAGAAATTCCACACCGTGTGGCCTTGAGCCAAGGTAAGAGGGGACGCAATGAGAGCTTCTGTTTTGTGATCTAGGAGGGATGCATAGCCATAAGAGCAGCTAAGTCTGTCCACAGATGAGAAGAGGCCAACTGAGCCATTCATTTAGAATTGGTTTCGTCGGTCGAGAAAATCTGAAAAGCGCAAAATGAAAACTCGGTGTAATTGGTGAGAGATGACATGGTTCCCGGTTAGCGTACTTGGGTAGAATATCTTATCCTAGATGGTATCACATTCAGCACAACAAGTCTGGAAAATGCTTGTGTTCAATCAATGTATTTCAGAAACAATTCGATGGTGTAATTATCGCAGGGATGTCAAAATTAGAACAAGGTCGTGGGAACCAACATGGCGAGACGTGAGGTGGCCATATTGACCAATCCGACGCAGGGACATTGGAGCCCCTTCTGAGTCCGCAGTTGCTGCCTGAAAGGCGAGGCGTAGCAGTAGTACAAAGCGCCGGTTGAGAAGCGGCTCTAATATCCTTGAAAGTGCAATTCTTGCGACGCCAAGCTGTTGGGTGGTCTCTTTGAAGGCCCAGTGAGACGCAAGCCCCCCTTCGCACCTAAATGTGCGTCTGCTAATGGTCAGCTCGGTCTCCTCCCCAAGTCTTCGGCCGGCACGGCAATGAAATCGACTTGCCTGTCTCCTTAATGATTTTCAGCTGCTCGTTCATGCCCCCACGACAATCCTGAAGGTGTTCTCTTCAGCGCCGTGCTTCGTTGATAAATACTCCTTCCCATCGCTCACTTTCGCTAGTCGCAACCTCATTCTTGACTCTTTCTTTTCCCCCTTACCGGACGAGAGAAACAGTTGATTACCAATTCTTAATTCAGTGTTTTGGTAACCCACCTGACTGATGGCGTTGACTATCCCCGCTGCCTGGAGCCCGAGCCCTGGCTGCCTCGCCTCCACCGATCTCTGGGAATGGCAGAGAGACGTGACCAAAGCACCCGTCCTCGGCGGGCCGGTAGAGACGAGTAGCTGCTATCCGCCCGGTTATACGGGAGAGACCAGGATATATTACCAGGCTACGGCGTGCCCCACCGGTTTCTTTGCAGCTTGTGGCCATACCGACCTGAGAACAACCTGCTGTCCGACGTAAGCTAGAGAACCGCCCACGAACTCCGTGTTGTGAAATGTTTGTCTGACTGTTGAATCCAGAGGATAAGATTTTGTTTGTAACACTGAATCCGCCTACGGTTACCTCGGTGTCACAACGTTTCTCTGCACTTCGATATGGACGGCCGAGGACACGATCGCCTTCACATACACGCAACTGGGGCAGAAGGGAGATTCTGTGGCGTCTTATACGGTCACAAGAACCAGTGGTAGCTCGACCACAGAACTTCCCACTTCTGGCACGTTCGCAACTACAGAGGTAGTCAAGTCGGGGGCCACGCTGTTCGCGATGGGTGTGGCTATCACCTCGACAGTGGATACACCTGCCCCAGGGGCGGGAGGTCTCAGCACCGGGGCTGCCGCTGGCATAGGCGTCGGTGCGGCGGTTGGGGCTCTCATACTTGCTGCTGCTGCCTTCTTCGTTTATCGTCATAGGAGACGAAGAAGGCAGTCTCCACCTACAGCGAGCCAAAACTCTCAATATGCGGGCGTCGCGCACATCCAAGACGTCCACAGAAAGCATAATTTGGCACAGCCTGCCGAGATGGGGGTGTATGAGCGACCCCGAGAACTGCCTACTTAGATAATGTGAGGTACTAAGCATGATATGGTATAGTCCTAGAATAGGTTTTGCTGGCGAGGGAACGTGAGAATCACAGGACAAGACTTCCAGCTAAGTAAGCAAGTTTAAGGAAGGTAATAAGTGCATTAGTGGCATTATATCAAATCCATTAACATAATTCAGGGGACAATAGCTAACCTTGAATGTTTCTGGTCTTTTGAGGAAGCAAATCCGTACTGCTAAGCGTGTTGGTTCTCAGAGTAAGTGACACAATAGTTGTTTCTTCATAACCGACCGTAGACTTCCCGTTAAACGCAGACCATACATAAGTTTCTCTCACACCTATAGAAGCCCATGCTCTTAGCCACTTGTCGCGACTCCTGTAGCCGAGCTAAGCTGGACCTGATCAGGAAATCCCCTGAAACTCCGCCTCCCTCTCTGATCTGGATCCCAGTCGTAACTGTCGACCCTGATCTCATTCTCAGTCGTGATAACCATGTGCCTCGGCTCATAGATGTGGTGTTTAAGCACCATAAAACTTGACGAGCGGACACCATTGGTAAGACGCGAGGCCAGCGTGATACACTGCTCGTTAAGGTTGACCTGCTGCTGCACCGTAGCTTCGTCGACGGGCTCCTCGGGCCGCTCCCTGAGGCTCTCGGGGCTCAGGACGCAGGCGACCACGTGCAAGTTCCTGAGGCCCCGCTGCTTCGCCTCTTCGACCTGCTGCACGAGTTCCTCTGCCGCCTCCTCGCCATCGTCCTCGTCGATATGGGCGAGGAACTTGTCGGGCCTCGCCTCACCCGGGCGCGCCTCGCTGGTGTATGCGACGGCGACGGCAATGCCTACGCAGGTCACTAAGGCCTGGGTAACTAGGCCTTGGCCGCCTTCTGTGCTGAGAGCGAATTCGGACATGTCGACATCGTGGAGGTCGTTGTAGCTCATTTTTTTCAGGCGAGGTAGGAAGTTGACCTCACAGTCTTAAAGCTATCGTGTTCTAGATTGTCTTTTTCTCTTATGTACGAGTCCGGTCTTTTTTCCTTCTCTTTCGAACTGGCGGTTCACCCTCTCTGACTCAAACTGGACGTAGTGGCTATTCGAACTAATATCAAAACGCCTAATAGTACATTCACGTTCTTTACGTTCATTTATTGGGTGTAATTGGGCAAGTGTGAAAATGGGTGAAGTTATACGTTCAATGGCCTTTGTTCCAAATCGGACCGCAATTTACAAGCCGCTTATGTCCTAGCTTACTTTGTCCGCTATGACACGCTGCTTGCAAATTGTCATTCATCCATAATATATGGCTATTATTACGGGGAGAGGAACGAAAAGCGGACGTGCCGGCCGCGGATACTTGCACTGTGATCAGGTTCTGTTTTCCTGCACTTTTGTTTGAGGATGTCATATGCGATTTCAGAATACTGAAACCTAACACATTCACTAGAAAAGCAGGCCTCCCCAAATAAGCACTATACATCCTTTTATTGTATGGCTGTTAGCTATGTTTGTAGTTCGACTAGTGCGTGTGTACGGGTGGCGGGTGATCCGTGGTAGGCCGTGCCTCCATTTGAAGGGCAAGAGATTTATCGATCGACACGTGCCAACTACAGCCAGTCCACTCAAACATATGACACATCTCGAGCCTAGGCCATTCGGCTACCAAGCATGAAAATGCTAGATCAGGGGTGACCACGTCGGAAGCTTGATTCCGAATGCTGGGATTTCGTGCCTGAACTAGATCATCATTTCGTCCCAAATACGGTGCTTCACCCCCAGGTCGGATTGCCCAATTGACCTGCCAGGTTTCGCCTCGGAAATGGCCAGAGTAGGCAATACGGCTCCGTGGAGTTTTAATAACGCCATCAAGCTCCTAACACACAATCACCATACGTTCATACTAATGACCTGAGTCAGTGTACTCGTTCAGAGGCATGCAGAGATCTGAGTCTGGACTGTAGACTCTAGGATGCCAAACGAGCCCATCGGCTCCGAGACTGACTTTCAGGGAGTGGGTCTTTGAATGGAAACACGCAGACTGTGCGTAATATCCGCGTGACAAGTGAGTGTGATCACATCACTAGTGGCTTTGCCCTCAACTTTGGCTCACAGAAGTAAGACCCGGCGTAAACATAATTATGCCCTCGGTTTGGGGTTTTACACATGCAATCATCATTTTTGAAATGAGTTAAATATTAGGTCTATAATATATCTAATCAATCTGAGTCAATCTGTGTGACTTGACCACGGTAAAAGAACTGTTGTTTTTGGGCACGGGTACTGTTTTCCCGCTGGCCACCCTTCTCCCAACTGTCCATCAACCCTGCCCAGACCTCTCGCCTCTTCTACTTCCAGTCGGTTCAGCGTCGCGTACCACCGACGAAGCAGCGGATGCAGAATTCTTTGAGCTTATCAGAATGGACTCTCCCACACCGTCATCCGTCCAATACTCAGCAGCTTGGGCTGATCCCTTGCGAGACGGTCTTCTTTGCTTCTGTAACCTGATGAATGTCGAGGGTTCGGACGCGGCCGCGCTCAAGGCGAAGAACTTGAAGAACCGCTCGAGAAGGGTCCGAACGGCGGGAAGACAAGAGGCAATGATCCCTGCCGAAAGCTCAACACTGGTCCAATATACTACCGGTACGTAGGTCCAGCTCGGGTCCGGGGTACTCCCAAAGTCTCTTAGGGTTTGAAGACGCACTATGGTAGCGATTAGACCGATCCCGCCCAGCGCAAACATGAGGCCGATGAAGACCTTCTTTTTGCGGGTCATTTGGAGACTCCACAGCATAAATATGGGTAGAATAATGATGATCAAATCGTGTAGAACAGCAAGACCAGAGTTGGCGTAGGCTAGCGCCGTGATATCCAGGCAGGAACCACCGACAATGTCCCTGTCCCAAAAGAATTGGACCGGCTGACACGAGAGAATGGTGAGGATTGTGATGATGGAGCTTGAGACCAGGATGAAGGTAAGCACCACGTAACAAGCGATGTAGAAGGGTCGGTAAGCCCAGAATATGCGCAGGTACATGGTGACAATGGAGACCTTGATCAAGGCTAATACAACCACATAGACGATTTCGGAAACGTAGAATAATCGGAGAATCTGCAACAGTGCGCCATCTTTCAAGCTCCACAGATGACTGCCGAAGCCTAGCACGGCCACTTCAAGTAAAAGAATGTTAGCGGATTTCGGGTATGTATAAGCTCTGGCGAGTGACCCGAACAGGAAGCTACTTACTGTATAGGACGCATACAAATGGTGCCACAGCCAGCGTCACGGCAAGGGTGATTATGTGGTCTTCGGCGTACAGGGTCCTGGTCATAATCTTCGAAAACGTCCGGAGCATAACGAAGACTGCTGTGCCGACAAAGAAGAAAGACACCGCAATGATGACGCGCGTCGATTGGGACTCGTTTGACAGGCCGCAGACTGCAGCAGTAGACCGCGCCATGTCTGCAGCATTTCTGTAAGCAACCAAGCATTCCAATATGAGGGCATCGGGTGCTCTTTTGCTCTGGATCTCAGTGAGGTGTACATACCAAGACGCCCCTGCATCGTGCAGTTAACGACAAGACAAGCGTTGATCTTGTCCTGCAAGACCGAGCTGGAGCATTGGCAGTTCGTATCCCCGAAGGCGCAACCAGATCCAGGGATTGCTTTGAGGAGGCAGTTGAGCTGCAGGCTTGCAGGTCAGTGAGTGACAGTCAATGCGGGCCTGGCACCTATCGTGTGCAAGGATTCACGGGGGTCACATACTCCGCAAGGGGGCAGATTGCTCGGGGCTGTCTGCGTCTGAGCGGTGGCCGTCGGGGCCCCGAAGATGGCAAGCCAGAGCAGGAGGAGGCTGCAGATCCTGACAACGGCCGCACAACCCAGAGCCGCCCTGCAAGTCGGGAGGGCCATCGCGTTGACGAAGAGCGAGAACGTTGACGACCGGGACGCGGTGGACGTGCATTGAGAAGCATCTATGCAGGAACCAAAATACTCTATATATCGACAGGCTGAAATGTAAACGGCTATTTCTCAAGTGCCGCTATGTCACGGTCTCACATTGAGGTCCCTCGTGCGAGCGCGAATCGGATCAGAGACCCGCCCAACAAACTCTGGTCTGCGAAGAAGTTGCTGAAACCAGAACACCCTGGCGGGCCTCTACCAATTTGCTCGTCGCTGAGGCTCGGCGCGCCGATGGGCTAGAATTAACCGCTGAACCCTGGAAATCTGGATTGTAGCGCGGAACTCGATCGAAAGCTTAATTCAACTCGTTACAGTGGTCCAAAGTCAAAGGTTTTGGCAGGTCGGGAAACCTCGAGACAATGCTGGGCTGACTGGCGAGGTGGAAGGGAGAGCATCGCATGAAACGGCTTTGGGGCATGAATGACGAGAGCTGGGACTAGACGTCCTGATCGCCGCTGGCGACTTCCGGATAGTATATGCGAGCTCGTTATGTATATGCGGTGCTGCCGCCCAATGGCGGCACGTGCGTGCGAGCGGAATGTCTGATAGTTTCTTGCCCTCAAATGCAATGCATCAAGGAACAATGTATCGAGGAACGCTGTGCGCCACTGGCAGGCTAGAAAGAGGCGCCAATGATTCACCGGCGTCCGCGCCGGGCACGGCACTTGATACATAGGCCCCGATGGTTAGCGGGAAGGACAGGGCGTTCTGTATCATCCGAGCTGTTGAACTCGTCCGATGTTCTGGTCGTCCTGCTAGGCCAGGGGCTTTGCGTTGCGTTGGTTCTCCCCCAAAGAGCCGGACCGGGTCTTAGGCCCAAAGTTTCCAAAGGGCGTCGGCGACTTGGCTTAGCCAGAACGGAATGTGACGACCAATGACTGCGTAGCTCCCCCGATGCTCAGACATGTGTTGGACGCGCACAGATGCTTCCTCGCTTCAGATCCTTCCCGTCTGCACTTGATCAGGAGTCGTCTGTATGCATGCCTTTTCATATGATACATGATCTCGTCCACCCATCCTGTGCGCTTCCCGTACAAGGCCTAGTGAAACGCAGACGTCGGCCCCGAGATGGTGGTTGGAGAAATACAGAATTAATGAATAGAGTAGAGCCAAGACGACTTGGCTCTTGTTTGTGTATGCATGTCGCTGTACCCAGAGTAGTCACAACGGCCCGATACCATTCTCGCAGTCTTAAATAGATGCTTCGGCAACTGGCTGCGGAATGTCCCCGAGATCTACGTCAATCGGTTTGATCTGCCCGGTCACCACACGTCACTGGCAGTTCCAAGGTTACTGTAAGCCACGTTTGATCTCAAGTACCTCGGTGCTCTGCTGTCTGTGTCCCTATCTCCTAAGTCAAGGGGTCCACATATGGTCCACCCCCCCATATGGACCACTTTTTACACCAAAAAGCTAGCTTTTTATCTCCACCAATTTAATAGCTATAATTCTGAAATTAAATATACATATAAACGATATATACAGGATCTTAAAATAAAAATGTAAATATTTTTAGTATTTCTCTTATTCTTTTATATTAAATATAATTTATAAAACTTTTGTACTTTTAATACTTTCATCTTTTGAAATATAAGAGATAAAAAGCTAAGAATAAGTAAATATATAGTTTAGAAGTATATATTAAGGCCAAAAAATATACCCTAAATTTAAATATTTTCTAATAAATAGAATTAATTTTAAATAATAAACCTTTTATTTTATATTATATATATTAATATATAATGTAAATTAATAGAATTTAAGGTAATATTATTTATATATATATTATTTGTATATTAGGGCTATACTAAAAAGGGTATAAAATTATGGATTTTATTTAGCTTAGAAAATAGAAATTTATATTTTACTATATAAACTTTTATTAAGGAAAATATATTATTTAATATGTAAATATATATGATTTATATATATTTTAAATAAATTTATTTTCTATATATCTTAAATATATAGATTTAAGAAAAAAATATATCTTAAATAGATATAATATATTAAAATATTTATAAAGATATTATAAATGTTAAGAAATATTATATAATAATGTGTAAATCTTAACAGCTTGGTTTATATAAATATATGCTTTTATTAAAATTATATATATACTATTTGGATTTTTTTCTATATATAGTTTATAAATATCTAGCCCTATATAAAGTCTTATTATTATGAGTACTATATTAATAGAGATATAAGTCTTTAAAAAGCTAGCTTTTTAGTGTAAAAAGTGGTCCATATAGGGGGGTGGACCATATGTGGACCCCTTGACTTATGATAACATAGCGCAGAGCCCTATCGATCGTGATGCAAGTTCATAATGATCGAAACTATAGGGATCTGATGCTAGCTTTAGAAGTCTCCGTCCCCGACAGATGGCAAAAGCGTTAATACATGTCTTTACCTAGTCGGTTAAGTTACTGCCATGTGTATCACCACTCGCCAGCTATACTGAGCATTTTATCCAGATTGACTTTGTATCAGGAGAACAGACAACAACTGAAGTATGTCCGCAAACAAAGCTAGTACGAGTTGACATGTCTTGTTCTGAGCTTACAGTTTCGGTCTCTAACTGACGTCGGCTGTCTGGTTTGGGCCGCAATTCAAGGACAGTGCACTCACTTCCCAGTCAGGAGCTCTCCGCGGAGCTGCTTACGTGCACCTACCAGATCCTTTTATGAATTTTATTGCGTTCATCCGTGCCAGGAGAAGCAGGTCGACATGAACGTAGAAAGAACCACGGCTGTTTTAATAAGTCCGCCAACATTTCTCATCACCACGGTCCACGTTGACTGATCCTAGACAAGCTTGATGCACCATTCACGCAATCGATGGGGTATTTGCAGCATTGATATTCGCGTTTTCAAATTAGTCTGACTTACTCGCACAAATAGAATTAGGCCATGTTAACTCAATGTATAGTCTTCCCATATCTGACCAGAGTGGCTGTAGCGCCTTTTTACATGACTTGACTTGTCCTGCACCTTTTTGTTGTTGTTTGGAAGGGCATCACCCTCATCGTCTCGAAAGGAGGTATCAGCCGCATCTGTGTGATGCGCATGCACGGTGTCCGACGCAGCAGCAGCGTTTCACTTGACGAAAACGAAGTGATTCCCATCACTGTTGCTGTAACTCTGCAGAGTGGCAGGCACAGCATTTTAAAACTAGAAAAGAAGCTACCACAAACTTTGACCTCTCGTGACCCCCAACTGTCGATTCAACTTGTGTGGCCGTTGGTGTCGCTCGCCTGGGACGGAGTTTGAGAATCTTCAGACCATGCGCTGCACGCATACGACGTCGCTGGCAGCGGTGTGGAATCAGATGAACAGCCACCAATGCGGTCCAGGTCCGAGTGATGACTGAATTGCACGCTGTTTTTCAGCCAAACCGTATTCCCGGCGTTGTTTCCCCCACCTGCTTTCGGCACTTTGCATGAAACATGGAACAAGATTGACGGGATCAGTGGGTCCGCCCTCACGGTTTGAGATGAGGGGTGGGAGGGCAGATGCGGAGTCTTCGAATCTACGCCTCGGTCGAGGACATCGGAAAAGAAATCACCCATGGCATCTTGCTGTGATCCCGTTAGCTTCTCACGGACCGCGCAGGCCAAGGTGCAAGAGACGTAGAAATTGAGTCCAAACGGAACGATTGTTGCAACGTTTCGGGTGGCGTAGGCCGGTCAGCTCGCCGGGGAGGCCGTGTGCCTGGATCACGCCGATCCGGTAGGCCCGGCTTGCTCCCTACTCAGTGCTGGACAGTGAGCATGGTCTCATTGGTGGACAATCCCCCTCCCAAATCGGCACTGAGCGGCGGTAGCACGGTCGTTGTTCACCCTTGAAGTAAACAAAACTTCCGATTATCCATTTTGCGCAAGGTCAGCTTCCGTCGAGGCCGGAAGTCGGCAGGGACTGCATCGTCAGACAGCAACATGACTGCAATGACGGAGGCAATCTACTGTAAACTGCCCTGCCGAAGAATAGGGGACAACATGGGTCTAAAAGGAGAGGACAGGGTGGGGACCATGACGACCTGGGCTTGCTCGTACCCACTAGACTGTAGGTAGCTACTATAGGTAGCATTATAAAGCCTGATGTCTTGGCTCTGGGGAGCTCGCGATGTCCTGCTTGCTTTCTCTAGTCTGGTGCACTCCTTCCAAGTATCCTATCCCTTTTCTTCGTTTACTTCTCGTTCGCAAACAAACACTGCGCAACAAAATGAGGGGTCTGGTATCCTTATTGCCACTACTGGCTGCGGCCAGTGTTGGAGCCCTGCCTGCCTCAGGAAATGCGTCTTCTGGAACGGCTGCGGCGACATTCGCCAAGACGGACGGTCTGTTCTTTAACATTGATGGAGAGACCAAGTACTATGCCGGAACGAACTGCTATTGGTGTGGCTTCTTGACATCAGACGAGGACGTCGACAAGGTTTTCTCGGATATGGCTGCAGCCGACCTCAAGGTCATACGAGTTTGGGGGTTCAACGACGTGAACAAGATTCCCGAGGATGGAACCGTGTACTACCAGTACTTGACTGCAAATGGATCAGAGATCAACACGGGCTCAAATGGCCTTGAGCGACTGGACGCCGTCGTTTCCGCTGCCGAAACACACGGGCTGAAGTTGATTATCAACTTTGTGAACAACTGGAGCGACTATGGAGGCATTGCGGCCTATGTGTCTGCCTTCGGTGGATCAGCTACGACGTGGTTCACCGACGAGACCTCTCAGGCTCAGTACCAGAAGTACATTGATGCGGTTGTCAGCCGATACAAAGAATCGACCACAGTCTTTGCTTGGGAGCTAGCCAACGAGCCGAGATGCAGCGGATGCGATGGGTACGTTCTCATCCTGGAAATGAGTTTTACGTTATCCGGCTAACCAGTGAATAGGTCCGTTATTTACAACTGGGCCAAGACTACCTCAGAATACATCAAGTCTCTGGATTCAAACCACATGGTCACGATTGGAGATGAGGGCTTCGGACCCGTGGCCGGAGGTGATGGCAGCTACCCGTTCACAACATCAGCGGGTGGTTATACTTGGGCCGACAATATGAACATCACCACTCTGGACTTCGCTACCTTCCACCTGTATCCCGACAGCTGTAAGTTATATGCGACTCATGCGTCTATCTATCTGTACATTGCTAATCCTTCTATTTAGGGGGCCAACCTTATGAGTGGGGGAGCCTTTGGGTGTCGACTCACGGTGATGCCTGCGCAGCTGCTGGTAAGCCATGCCTAATGGAAGAATACGGCGGTGAGAACAACTGCACCATCGAGAACCCGTGGCAAAAGACTGCTCTCAACACCTCCGGAATTGCTGCCGATCTCTTCTGGCAATATGGCGACACTCTCCCTAGCACTGGGAGCCAAACTTCCCAGGACGGCAACACTGTGTTCTATAAAGAGGGCAACTGGGACTGCATGGTCACTGATCATGTCAATGCTATCAATGCTCTCTACCCCTGAGCCATTGAAAGGATTGAAAGCTCGAACACACGCGAGCAGTGCAACCTTGAACGGGTGGCCTTCAATGTACATATTTTAGCACCCACGATGACATAGCAGCCTTACGGAATGATAGGCAGAGCAAATCAAACTGTATGAACAAGCAAAATGAGGCAGTGAATTGTGACTAACACCAATTGAGCCATTTGTGGAGACTTACTGCAGCTTTTCACCGAACCTCGAGTGACAGTAAGGCTCTGAAACCCGAACCGCGTGATTTTCAATTTGCGACGTAACGCACGTCATTTGGGATGTCAAACTGCAAGCTCTTGCATATACGCAACACCGAGCATGAGATAGTTCGGCGTTGGCGTCGTACCAAGCTTACTGCAGGGCCAAGACTGGACGTGTTGGCCTGCCACTTGCTGGGCTTTTATCTAGAGCGTGGGATAATGCAACGAGGATTGGCTGGCTAGAGTTGCACATTGTTGGGGCTACTGCACCTGAAAGCCTCAATATCACTGAGTCTCCAATTGTCGGCGCAGCTCTGATGCAGAGATGACAGCCTGCATTTCATAGAGCCTGATCGCAACCGCGGTTCCCCGCTACTTGCGCCGCATTAATGGGCATTTATCAGCGCGAACTTGCTCACCTCCGTTCTGTTCCTCTGCTCTTTTTCTTCCAGTCACCTCTTTCCTCATCCTGCTCTTCCGCCTGGGAAAATGGCAGATATGCGTGTAGGGTCGTCAATCCAAGCTACCGTGGCCTTGGGCCAAAAGCTTGCGAGCCTCCTGCAGACGCTCATCGAGCTCAATCCCAGCAGTCAGAAGGGCTTTAAGGACGTACATTACGACGTCGAGGCCACATCTGGCACTCTCCGGCAGTTGCAGGATCTGATGAGGGCTGATGAAGCGTCCGGGTACGAACGAAACACAAAGCCGGCTGTTACCTCCTCGTACCTAGATGAGATCGAAATTTTGGCTGTCAGGTGTGGCTTGATTTATAAGTCGATCATACTAATCACGCAGAAGGCTGTTGTCAGAGAAAAATCAAAAGACGGCAATTCTGAAGTTTCGAGTCTTGAGAACTTGAAAACTGAGTTGCTCACCGGCCCAATTCCCGATCCTGGCTCGATCAAGTCTATCAAAGTGGTCCGCATACCCTCAAAGTTCGACCAACAGGAATGGCTCGAACCCCGGATTGATCGCTGCCAGGAGCAGTTGCAATGGATCAGGACGGGCCTGCTGATCCACTTGCACATTTTCAAGCTTGCTCAATTACAGAATGGGTATTTATCCAGACACGCTCCTCTCAAATGACATCTTACTTATCGCAAGTGCAGATCTGTCGAACGCAACACTGGCGACTTTGAGAATGAACTCATGTACAGAAGTTCTATCCAGCTGCTGCGGCAAAGGCAGGTGAAGTTCACCAAGAAGAAGTCCAGAAAGCAGGAAAAGGCACAGCGAAAATGGGAGCTGGAGAGAAAGGTGGACAGCTCTGATATTGCATCGGTCACGAGCGTCGCAAGCTCTGGGAGTTCTTCAACCACTGCCAGCACAGCCGTCGATGATGACGCTTCTGTCAACGGGCAAAAGCCTGTGGTCAAAGATGCTGCCGATGTCGTGGATGCAGGTGAGCAAGCTTAAGCATTCCTCTGACGACCACGGCAACTGAATGTGTCAAATTTACAGACAAAAACGCCGCTGATGCGAATCAAGGCGAAACCAAGTCGTCCGGCGACACCAAGGTGACTGAATCAGAGGTGCAAGGTGACAAGAGCAAGACCCTGCGATCTTTCACCTTGACTGGCCGCATTGGCTCCGATCTTCCGACCTACTTCTTTGACTGGAAGCAACGGATATTCGGGACAGACGACAAGTTCAAGACTGACTGGCCAAGCACTAACCTCGAGGCTTATGTCCGTCACAACTCCAACTTTGGAAAGCCCACCAAGGTCCCATTCGGCCACAAGCGCCTTACCTACGGCCTGAATAAGGTCATCAAGGACGGGAAGAAAGAAAAGTCGACCTGGAACAGCTATGTTGATGCGGCACAGTACACACGTCTGTCGATCTATGAAATCGTCGAGGAGGCGAACCGTCACCAGAGCCGTGAAAGGGTCTGCGTTGCGTTCCAGGAGTACGGAAAGGAGGGAGATGACCCTTTCTTACTGGTGTTCCTGTCTCTCCGGAAGGAGCCGCAGCCAATCTCTCTCAAAGACGCGGTGGGACGTACCTACACCCTTCCATTTGAGACTTGTAAGAAGTGGGACGTAAGTGCTCCCTGATCGTTTATGGAGCCCCTGGTGGGCCCAGGAAAGAGTTGCAGAGATACTGATCATTGTCCAGACCATGAAAGCAACCCTCATAGAGGCTTTCAACCACGTACGAGAGATCGGACCTCATGTCATCGAAGGTCATTTTGATCTCCGTAAGTAGATTCCAAACCTTTCCATCACATAGCTGCATAACCATGGGACCCAACCGTCTCAGCTGCTTCTCCAAGGGTCATTGGATGTCTCCGCGCGGCTGCAAGGGCTTGCTTTGGTCACAAACTGAGGACGATAACATCGCTGACACTACCCTAGTAACTCCCAATGGAGACCGTATACTCCCTCACCTTTGGAGCACCACAATCAAGCCTGGTGCATCCATTAGCATGAAGATGTGGCCAGACACACCGTTGCGTGGCTTTTACGGTCCGCCGCCGTTCCTCGTCAACCCACATGCGCCGAGCCCAGCAGGTAACGCCATGCACGCGAGAATGCGTCAGATGCAGGCGCAACGGATGGCTGCGATGAGACACCCGCCACCACCCATGATGCGGCCGCCACCCATGATCGGAGGGGGACCGCCGCCGCCGCCGCCTGGTGGGCGGTCTTTCCCGCCCCCGCGCAAGGTTGTGCCCATCATCGATTGGCGCTCAGCATACGAGATCAGCGAGAAGGAGGACGAGCAGCTGATGTTTGTTGACTTTGTGGAGGAGCTCGAGAAGACCAAGGCTGCTACCGTCGCTGATCTCCTCAGAAAGTTTACGACCTTGAAGGATGTCACGGACGAGGACTCTCTTGGCGACTTTCTGGCTGTGGACTCTGATTATGATTCCGATGACTCTACGAGCACTAGCTCCTCTAGTGAGCTCATCAACGATTGATGACGGACTTTTTGCGCGTGTGGAGACGTCATGCTCCAGATGTGGCGCTGGTCATTTGTTCTTTTGTTAGTAATGGTCATGATCAAACTGGTTTGAATTCATTTGTCTCGTCGCACAAACATTTCCTTAAAATAATGCGCCTTCTCGGAAACTGTCCTCGAAGCACCCGAAGGCGATGCCGCAGGGGTGCTCCATTTGCAGTACATAGTATGTATCTGTGTAACGTTCCAATACAACATTGACGTTATAAACGATTGTCGTCACGTTGTCCGACAAGGACCACTAGTTATTTGATATAGCCAAATCAGATTGCTAATATGTACCATGAAAATGCTCCTCTATGAGACTCAGATCCAATCCGTCGATCCAAGAAGCGAAAGTCGATAGAGAAAGAAAGACCGCGTTGATCACAGTCCCGACATCGAACCAAGGAGACTGTGTACTGGCCCAACATTGTCCGAAGATACAATTATCAACCCACGATTCCAGTTCCAGCGCTCGCCTTGACAATGGAGCAGACAGAGTCGGCAGAGTCCAGCCTAAATTTGTCCATGTTAGCTTGTGGTGCTTTACTATGATCACAACGCATTCAAACTTGTACTTACGCGTAGGTGTACGGCGGGCTCAGGCTTCCCACCTGGGTGATGGAAATGGTGCAGTTAACGAGAACGTTGTTCTTGTTGACCAGGTACCCGTCCTCGTCGCTGTCCACGTTGGTCACAAGGGCCTGCGGGACGTTCAGGAAGTAGTTGTTCTCAGCCAGCACCTGTGCCCCCATGCGCGAGTTGATGCCCGAGGTTGGGTTGTTCTCGTAGCATGAGCTGTAGACGTGGGCTGTTCCGAACCGGACGGATGGAAGCCGGGAGTTGACGTTGGTGAAATGGTTGTGGTGGTACGTGATGTGGAGCTTTCCTTTGTCCTCGCCGGAGTTGTTGTCAGAGTGCCCGACCAAGCTGCCCTGTTTGATTGTTTAGTTGTCATGCCTCGAAGGGGTGATGAATAATACCTGCCTTCCAGTGATCGTGGAACTTGTTCCATGACACGGTGACTTGGTCAGAACCCTGATATTCTGTCAGCTTCATAAAAATTCGCCCAAATCGGACAGAAAGGGGCTTTTCTCACATGAGTGATATCCAGCAACCCATCGTAGGCATCCTTGTCGCCAGTGATACCATTCGACGAGAAGTCGTTGTGGTCGATCCAGACATTGGTAGAGTATTGAAGCTCGACCAAGTCCTTCTTGCTTGGGGCGTTGTGCAGGTACAGGTTCCTGAGGATCACGTTTTCCGCCCTCTTCACCCGAATACCTCCATTCGTCAAGCCTATGAGGATGATTTTATCAGCATCCCGTCTCTCATATGAAACGTTGGAAAACATTTCATCGGGATATCACTAACCAGACTTTGCCCCGACACCAATGACAGAAGTGTCAGATACCAGGTCGACAATTCCGCAGCCGTCCAAGACACCGGAGATCTTGATGACACCACCGGCTTTGGCAGCTGTAGTGAAAGCAGAGCAAGACGTGACAGTCGTTCCGCTACCACTTCCGCCACCGGTGGCGCTGGCACCATAACCGACGAGGGCATCGACGGGAGCAGCACGAGGGGCATTCGGCGCGCCGAGAGCAGCCGGGGCAAGGGCGAGGAGAGAGAGGCCGCGCATGGTGACTTGCTTCTTACTTGTCAAAGACTTTTGGTTCAAGGATCGTCAGGGGGTTGGATTGTATGTTCTACCCATGGCAAAGACAGCGGCATTGGCCGCCTCTTTATAGTCTAGTAACAGCTCGACATATACCTATTCGTCCAAGACCGACGACAAACACGGTAATTCGCTCTCGACACGTCTCTTCCGGGTCAGTCTTTAGCAGACTCGCCGTTGTTCTGTCAATGGAGTTGCTCCAGTACAAATGCTTGATTTCCCCACGAATCACACTCCATCCGAGGTCCTCAATCTCCACACCGGGTCAGGCTGCGCTTGGCTGGCAATCGCGGAAAAGCTGCACATAGGCCGGCTGACCGGTATGCAAGCTTCCTATCACCATGATCAATAACCTGATGGACTGCTTTGCCGTGTGCCAAGAGTGAGACTCTGGGGTACATGAAATGACTTAGGGGTATGTCATCACACGAGGCCCGAGAGTGTGGAGTGCGGTAACATCCCAGAATGAACACACAGAATGATTATGATAAAGCCACACGACTCTAGAAGCCCTCGAGCTTCGCTTGGCGTGCATGAAGATGCCAAGACATTATCAGAGACCTGTTCCTGGTGGGCCTCAGGGGGTTCCATTGCGGACCGCTATGCACCCCGGCCGGCTTGGGAGTTCCTTGGTGGAAGAAAAGACGTAGCTTCAATTGCCGCCAATTGGGTCGGTTCCACTTCAGGAGCCTCCGGACCAGGCGGCCAGCCAATCCGCAGAAACATCGCGGCTTTCGTATGTCTCAACGAGGCCGGGACTAACCACTCTCGTCGCGGTAATGATGGCACCGTTCTCGCGCGTTCTGCGTGGGGCATGTGGGCACTGGCTTGAACTTCCTTTTACGTTTGTTTCATCCAATAATGAAGTGCCGTACAGGAGGCTTCATGTGCGTGTGTAGCACGTGCCAAATATTCTGAACACGATGAATGCTTTGGACGTCATGTAACATTGATCTTTGCTTTATCTCTTCGAATCTGGTCTTACCATTGGCTTTCCATCCATGCAACCATCGTCCCGACCAAGCCGCTGCCGACTACATCGTAACCGTTCCTCATTGCCTCACTCTCTGCCTCCGCCTTCTGAGTGGCGAACTTTAGCCCGCTTCTACCCGGCTTGTCATTATCGTACTTCGAAGCAAAGAAATCTACCAACTTGATTGTAGGATTCGTTTCCGGGTTCTGATCAGACTTGCGCAGCAAGTCAACCCACTCGCGTTGAGAGACTGTCTTGAAGTCAAGCCCAGCATTCCTGAGCGCAGGGAGAAGATCTTGTGTCCAATGGAACAGCCTGTTATTCTGGACGTTGTACACGGCAGACTTGGGTGAGTACCCGTCTCTGTCGACGCCAGACAGTTCGATAACAGCTTGAGCCACAAGGTCAACCGGCATCCAAGATGGTGTCTGTCAGGTTTGTCAGTACAAAAGTGTGCACAATTTCATTATCAGGCGGGCAAACTTACTTCTTCAAGTGCTGGCAACGCACCCATGGTCTTTGCGCTCTGGATCATCAGGGGGATTGCCTCTGTGGTGTTCCACGAACCATGCTTTGTATCTCCTACAATCTGTCCCACGCGCAGCACGGTAGCTGTTATTCCTGTTCTCTCGCCGGCATTCTTTATTACGTGCTCTGTGACCAGCTTTGAGCGTGCGTAGCCCATGGGCTGTGCATGAGAAAGGTTCTCGATATGTGACTCCCCAATGGTCGCCGGCAGCGGTGTAGCGGCCGCGGAGGAGATGGATGAGCAGAAGTAGAACCGAGCTGGATCCACCGTCTTAGCCTGAAGGCACACATTGATCAGATTGTGCGCGCCTCTGATGTGTTGAGACTCGAAGCTGCGGACGCCGAGATTGAAGTTGACGGCCCAGGCGGAATGGATGATCAGCGTGAGGCTTTCGCGAATCTCGGCCAAGGTCTCTTCATCCAGCCCAAGAGTTGGCTTGGAAAGGTCCGCAGGTAGGAACGACACCCTTGAAAAGTCCTGTTCCGTGAGAGAAGGCAGGCCCTTCCCCTCGAGTGTTGAAATGACTCGGGCTTTGGCTGCGTCTTTCGCCGACGCTCGCACGAGACAGTACACCTTCTTGACTGTACGTTTCCTGAGAAGCTGGGCCAGGATGTTGATTCCCAGAGAGCCCGTGGCGCCCGTCAATATCTAGAGGCAAATTCAGCATCACGTTCTCGCATTCATTGCATGGTTCACGGCACTTACCACCGTCTCGCCACTTGGCTGGATTGTGCCAGGCTCTCGGGCGGGGAAATCAGAGTACTTCTCAATCAATTGAGCCATTGCGGATAGCTCGTCATCCGCTTCTTGCGCCACCCCTGTCCTCAGCGAGTACAAGTGCTTCGCAAGAAGCTCCACGTTGGGGTATTCGAAAATGACGTTGGATCCAACGGGGTTGCCCCCTACGTCAAGTTCTCTGGTGATTTGGGCTCGAGCCGTGATCGCCTGCCGGCTGTCAATTCCGCCCTCGAAGAAGTCTGTCGTGGGCTCAAGATTGGTGACACCCAAGTTGACGCGGAAAACGTCGAGCAGGTATTTCACCAACTCTTCATACTCCAGGGCGCGGAGACTAGCTTGTGGCGCGGCAAAGCGGTCATAGGTGTCATTGATCTGCCTTGCAAATTGTTTGTAGAATGCCGCCCGGATGACTGTGCCTTTGTCAGTCCGAGGGTACTCTGTCCCGACGTCCAGAACTTCAATCATTTCTGGGGAGATGCGCCCAAATTCCTCGGCTCGTGAGTTCGCAAGCTCGATGTTCGGTTGTACGGCCTGGAGGATCTCATCCCTCGTCAACGACGCTGCTTTGTCGCTTGGGACGATCATCAAGCCAGGAACAGCCTTTTCCACGCCGAACACCACGGCTTCTTGCACCAGGTCGTGCTGCCTGATCGTGTGCTCGTAAGGGATTGGGAGCACTTTCTCTCCGTTGACGAGAGTCACCCTGTCGTCGAGACGTCCCAGATACCTCCACGCGTCTGGAATCGTCGGGTGTGGGCTGAAGGTGTCTCTGGTATGGTAAGAGTTGGGCGGATCGTCGGAATTTGACGTGGTCTTGGATGGCAAGCCGTCGAGAACCACGCACTCGAATGTGTTTGCGCCTCTTGGGACCATTTTGATGAATTTCTTCGTCACTGGGAATGGCCGCATGTAGTTCCACCCCTTATCGCCTTGATCTCGAAACGAAGTCATGAGCTGACCTGTTTCAGTGCTGAGTACCACAGTTAGCCAAATTGCACCTTGAAACACCTCGTAGGAATTACTTACGTTCCATACTGTCCTACCACGTAGACTCCGGCTTCAGTGAGCTTGTCTCCCAGGTCATCCGGACAGCTGCTGCCCCCATACATCACGAGGCTCAGCTTCTTCAGCTCCTCGATTCCGCCAGGAGTTTCCGCCATCAGCTTCAACGCGTATGGGACGCAATGAAGACTCTGAGGCTGGGTCGCCTTCAAAGACTCAATTAGAGTGCTTCCGGCCAGGGGCAGATTGGCATTGTACATGGATATCTTGTTCCCGGCAATCAAGCCCCGAAATGTGACAGATATTCCATGGTTGTGAAAGAGTGGCAGCATCAGAAACGCCCGGTACGGAATCCCGCTGGAATAATTTGCGAGGCAAGCAGAATGTGTTTGATAGATTGGCTTGGGCAGGCCAGTAGAACCCGAAGAGTGTACAATGAAAGAAATTTGCTGGGACGCATTTGCTGGCCGTGTATAAGGGAACCGAGGCCCTGAAGGCTTGTCGAGGTCATACTCAGACCTTTCCACAATACTGTAGGACGACAGTGGATACTGTTCTTTGATTTGCTCTCCCGCCGTTTTGAAATCCTTGCCAACGACGAGCTTCCGCGATCCAGTCAGACGTAGAAGGTTCACGTAGGCTCCTGTGGTCAGTCGAGTTGACAGGAACAAGACTGAGAAGCCCATCCGGCTCAATGCCAGCATCGACGCGACATAGTCGAGATTGGACGTTGCCAGCAGCGCTATGACTTCACACTTGTCCGTTGTAGGCTGTGACAAATATAATTAGATCGCAGTGTTACTACTGGATGTATTCAAGAGACAATGCTTACCTCAGGACGTAGCCCTCGAGCGACGTACTGGCGAGCTGCCTCATCCGCCAATCGATCAACGTCGGTGACTGTATATCCGACATAGTCTTTTTTTCCTTTTGCGGTAGCTGGGTATTGTATGAAGACGGCATCCGGTGTCTCACGGACTTTGCTAAGCAGCAAGTCTGTGATAGTGACAACCTGAGAATCACTGTCCCCATTCGTTCCATTCTCTGTTGGCTTCACCCCCACATCTAGGGGCAAGGCCGGCATCTGTTGGGTTGCGACAGCCATTGTGTTGTCAGGTGAGTCTGGTACTTGACCATTTGGTGATACAGCCATGGTGGGCGAGACGAGAGTTGGTGCTTTTGTATGACGCCTCTGAACGGATGTCACACGTTGGTGGTACGCTGTAATTCCTCGGTTCGTGCATTGAGTACCACGCAAGCATTGGAATGGAGAACGAGTACATGACCCATGTTGGTGGCGGATAAGGGGGACTCATGGACGCAGGCAGTGGACCGGGAGAACCGCGGCAGGATGGAGCTAAAGCATGACGTCCAGACGGCCCCAGGTTCGGGGTGAAGTTATCCGAGGTTAAACTAGTGAGGTGACTCTTTTCCGGCTCTCAATTGCTCCACACGTGCTCGGAAAAGCTGCACTTTTCCGAGCTGTAAAACGCGAATTGTCCTGCAAGATTACCCTCTGGTACTGGAAAAGCAGAACCGCTGTCCGCTCCGTGTACAACACCTCGGATAGCGCAACCAAGATGGATCACAGTAGCCGGCCGCAGTTGTTCATGGTCACCCCACCGGGACCCGGGTCATCCACACCGCAGTCACATCGCAGGAGCCGGAGGAAAAGCGAGAGGGAAAGGGTTAGGGTCACGAGGGCCTGTGATCAGTGCAAACGGTATGTTGTTTTCAATGTTCGCGTGTTCTGAAGTATATTTGCAGTAGTTGTGGTTCCTTGCCGTTCTCCGCACGCCGTGAATGCAATGGCTTGTTCACAAGCTCTTTGTGTGCCGGGAAGCTGGGCCTACATATTCCATATGCATCGAGTATCGGAGCAAAGGAGGCTGACCACGTGGTCCAGACAGAAGATACGTTGCACTGGGGCCCTGCCCTGTGAAATATGCTTGAGGAAGGGCAATCGCTGCTCATATGATGCCTCATACGCCCGGGGCCGTGCCCCGTCCGTTGTGGGCGATGACCAAGCATCTGGGACGCGCCGCCCGGTCCTCGCCGTGAAAAGCTCCACAAAGTCTGTTAACCCGGCGCCGGAACCAGTCTCTGAGCCACTATCATTGCGAGCGTCGCCTGAACCCACACAAACAGATCAACAGGGACATTATGTGGGTCCTGCTTCAGGTGTCTCTTTTCTGCTCCGAGTGCAGAGGAGGGTCTACCAAACCTTGAAGTTCCCACCGTCCTCGTCCATATTCACCTTCGGGGATGCTCCCTTGCCCGACTTCGATGTATCATTCTTCGTACTTCCTCCCAAGGATGTTACACGGAAACTTCTGGTCAGGTATTTTGACTTCGCGGTGCCAACTCACCGATTCCTGCATCGTCCCACAGTCGAGGCATGGTTCGAGGATTTGTACACATCCAATGGATGCATGAGCAGCAGAGATGAGGCTCCGGCAAGGACTGCCCTCCTTTTCATGGTTTTTGCCCAAGCCAGCCTTTACATGACCGAGCCTGCTACTGATGCAAATCACGAGAAAATGGCCGACGTCAGCTCCCGTTATTTCCTCGCAGCAGAGCATCAGCTGCAAAAGGAACGGGGCAAGGTCCGCCTTGCCAGTGTTCAAGCTCGTCTAGCGCAGTGTTTCTGGTTGCTATCACAGTCACGCATCAATAACTGCTGGACGCTGTTCGGGACGACAGCTCATCTCGCACTAGCCATCGGGCTGAACAGGGGCAAGAAGACAGAGGTTCAGGGTCGTACAGGAAAAGTCGAGACCGAGTGTCGTCGAAGAACCTTCTGGTGCGCCTACACACTGGACAAGTACCTTGCGGCAGCACTTGGTAGGCCCCGCACATTCCACGAGGAGGATATCGATCAGGAGCTACCGTCTTGCATTGATGATTCAGATCTCGAGCAGGTCGGCGTTGAGCCTAAAGCTCCTCTTGGTCAACCATTGATGCTTGGCGCCGTGGCACACATCCGGCTATCACGTATCAATGATGGTATCCTCAAGGACCTATATCCCATCTGGCCACTGTCGACGTCCGTACGGCTGAAGGTGACTGCTCAATATTCAACAAGACTCAGGAATTGGTACCAAGAAATGGCGGAGTTCTTAGACTCCGGCAGAATCAACACGTCTTTGCTTCTGCCTATCTACCAACGGCAACGCCATGTTCTGAACCTAGCATACTGGCACGCCACGATCTTGACACATAGGCCATTCCTTCTCAACAAGTTCGGAGTCACGCGAACAAGTGCAAACACGACGCAGGTCGAGGACCGTGTCAAGGAATGCCTTCAAGCTGCGCTGAACATATGCGACCTAGTCGACGAGCTCATCAGTGCGAAGATGATGTTCAAAGCATTCTGGGTGAGTCAATCTTCATCGCTGCATCTATCGCGTGAGGACTCTTTCTGAATTTGAGAAAAGTTTACTTCATACTATGCGTTCTGCGCGGCCGTCGTGCTATATGTTTTCTCCATTCAGCAAAAAGCAAGCAACCCTGAGGACCGGCATCTATCTGTAGCAACCAGGTGCCAAGAGCAAATGTCAATGATCGCGGAGGAGCATTCGCTAGCGAGACGGTACTGTCTAGTACTGGACGAGCTACGCAAAGAAGCCATACGACACTCGGAACAGCCTCCAGACGATCAAACCATGGTTGCTGCGGATGACACTCATTCGCAACAACTTGAGAAACAGGACCCAGAGGAGGCTGTCCTGGCTGAGACTGCCGGATTTGGCCAGCATCCGCTCACATCAGACGTCAATGACATCAATGGCTTCGATGCAAGTCCAGGCAGCTCTCTTTATGACATGTCAGGTTGGGGTACTTTCGACTCCATGGTGAGTAAACAAATGCCCATGTGAAATACTTTAAGGGCGATGCTAATCCAGCCAAGGTCACATCTGGATTCGGAAATCTCGAGGATTGGCTGGGTGACGGTTCTTTCCAGTTCTCCGACTCAACGCAAAGAGTACTGGAATCGAGTTATTATTAATGTCCTTGTCATTCTCTAATTATTCGATTCCGTCTACAAGATTCAGCTAGATTGACTCACCATCATTCAAATTACATCATCTCTCGACAACGCAAAAGCTGTCAAATATCCAACAGGGACCATCACTTTGCAGAAAAGTAGCAGCAGAGGTCCATCGTCGCATTTTCCCGGATTTTGGCCGGCGAAGTTCGGTGTGGGGCGCGAGAGCATCCGTCCCCATCTCTGGTTTTTGAGTCATGGAAACTCCACATATAGTCTACACCTGCACTCAGACAAGCACATACGGCCATAGATATAGGAAAATACGGGATCCCGTCCGCTCTCCCATAGTCAAGCCTATGATCGCTGGATTAGTAGTTGGGTCGGTGACGACCAGCGAATACCCGGTGCTGTATGTTTTTGCTTGTGGACTTCTTGTTGCTGCCGTATTGGCCTCCCAGGGCGCCCACCGTTTCCGTTTCCCTACCATATAATGCAATACCTGCCCAGCCCGCCCATCCAGGTCTGGCTGTGCCCGCCTGGCCAGATCGAGGCCTCCGCTGCTATGCGAACGCCCCCTCCTCTACGGCGGCCTTATTTTATGGTCCTATGCTGCCCTTGTGTTACCACGGCCCTCGCGCCCTGGGCTGCCCGCGGCTAAAGTATTGGTTGGCTAGCTTCTCCTATCAGCCGAAGAGGCATAGCAGTCCTAATAATCGCGGTCTTGCGACTGACGGCCAACTAGCTCAGGTTCGTCTTCTTTTCTTTTCTTTCTTTCTGCTTGTCAGACTGTGGTTTCCTATATATTGTAAATGAACTTATTTGCTGTGCTGTAGACCATGGTCTCACATTACCCTCTAAAAGCATCCATTGTACCAGCGTTTTCAAATGAAGTCTCCTGTACTGAAGAGGAAATAGTATTGCTGCAGGCCCATTGGAAGTGCGAGATGCTGACCTCTACTAGTGACAAAGCTGTCGCCTTAACAAAGCTCGGATACTGCGGCTGCGTGCTCGCTTGTGATACACCTGCGCGCAGCTGGGGTACTGAGATACTCTTGCGATCGATGCCCCTGTTGTTAAAGTTTCGCAACTTAATCTCTCTTCTTATATTTAAATTATGTGATGAGCATGATAGAGCAGTTGCTACTGATGCGAACGTACTATGTAGAGGTTAAGGTGCCAGATAATAGATCGCACGGCGAGATCTCAAGGAAGCCAGGGAAAGTTCAATCCAATTTATTCTATCTATATAGGCTTACACCTATTCCCAAATGCTCGCTTGAGCTTTCGCAAAATCCCAGAGGCCCAGCCTCATTTACTGATATTGTCTGGCTTAGTAGTAAACTTTAAAAGATTTAGAAACTTTAATCCATATAGTTTACATCAGTACCAGACTCTCCTTTACTTGTTGTCCCTCGGCCCTCGAACATGGTGAGTAGTGACGTGGTTGCCATTGGCGTCCTTGAACTCAACAGTGACATGCTCCTTCTGATGTCCATCTCTGCCATGGAACGCGGAGCTGACCGGGTTAGCTGCTGAGTTCCCAATAATAATAAATTAAGAAGCAATCGAGCCTGGCAAGTACTTACGCAACCTCGGCCTTCTCCACCCTACGCTTTTCAAGCTTCTGGGCATCGTGATGTTTTTTGATCAGGCTCTCCGCTTCTGGGCGGCGTCCATCCTTGGAGTGATGCATTGTTATGGTGCAGCATAAAAGCTATAGTAATAACTTATTATTGCGTAAAGGAAGGAAAATTAAAAGTTTATAAGCTATAAGTAAAGTTATAGCATTTATATAACAAGCCGTTATAATTAATATTATAATAAAACTTAATTTTTAAATTATAATTATTTTTAATTATAAGTTTAAATAAATAATTTAGCTTTAATATTATATAATTAACTTAATATAAATATATTATTAGCAAGTTATATATATAATATAAGAGTATAAAGCTTATATATTAAGATATTACTAGTTTATATATAAAATAATCTTATATTAATAATTCCTTATATATAAACCATTATATTAAAATTTTAGCTAATGAGAAAATAATGAAATAAGTGTTTTATCTTCCTTTTTATATTACTTTCCCTTTTTTCCTTTAATGTGTTTTATCCCTACCTTTTGTCACAGCCCTGGCTTCCTGAGAGCGGTTCGCCGCGAACCGCCGCCTAACCCAAAAGGGTTGGGGCCTAATTACGTGAGCTGCTAGCTTAAATAAAACTCTGCAATTTATCCTAAACTTATTTTATAGCTCTTTAAGCTATGTTTTATTAATAAAGCTTATGCTTATTATAAATAAAGCTTATATATAATAAATAAAACTATTTATTGCTTATTTAATATTTACTTACCTAAATATGCTAACTTGCTATTATAATATTATATAGCTCTTATTCTTAAACGTTAATTATTATATTTAATTACCCGCAGCCACCCTTAAGCATTAACTTCTTAAAGGAGTTGGCTTACTATATTATAAAATATACCCTTAATTAAATAATATACTTATATAATCTTAATTAATATATATTTATATTTAAGGAAGAGATATCTTTTTTTTAAGTTAAGATCTTAAATTATAATATTATAATTATTTCTTTATGCTTTAATATAATTAAGCAAGATGGGGTAATAAATTATTAAAAGGATTAATATAAAGTAGCTTAAAAGGAAATTATTTGCCTTAAGGTTAAGAAACTATAATTTTTAAATACTATTACCCTTGCTATATAAACTCCTATCATTAAACCCGCTCCTTTTAATCTATATATTAATTAAACTATAAATGCAGCATTAAAAGCGACTTTGCTTACTCTTATTATAAATATTAATTCTGTTATTTTTAGTAAGAAATTACTTAACTTAAAGGAATTTAATAAATTTTATTATAATTTTTATTGCTTTATGCAATAAATTTACATTAAATTAATTATTAATACTAATTATTTTATTATTATTATTGCCTACCTAACTTATATAGCTAAATGCCTTATAAGAAAGGCATATAAGTTAATTTTGCTTAAAACTTTATATAATATTCCTTAGTTTATAAATTATTTAAATTTGTTTAAATATTTAAAAGAAGCCTTTAGGGACTTAAATTATATTTAAAACTTTTGAAATAAACTATATTAGCTAAAATAATAAGAATAAAACTTTAATACTTACTTTGCTAAGTTTTAATGCCTTACCTTAAAAGGAAAAATGCTTAATATTATTTTAACTTTATTATTATTTTAAGAAATTTCTTAAAAACTTTAAGATATGCTATTATATAACCTTATTAGCTTAAATAAGTTTAAAAAGTATACCTATTATTTATAATTCTTAAATAATTAATATTGCTAATATTTATAATAAATCTTTTATTATAAGCCGCTCTTTACCTTAATATTAACCTCCTAAAAAACTTATACTATTGCTATTAAACCTATTATTACCCCTGCCTTAAAAATATTTATATAATTAACCCTAATTAAAAACCCTATAAACTTAAGTTTTTAGCGCTATAATAATAGCTGCAAGGAATGCCATAAATATTACTATTATAGCTTCTTTAATTACTTTATAACTTATTGCCCCTAGTTAAATACTTGCTAATCCTGCTTATATAGCTTCCACCTTATATTATTAATATAATCTTTATTAATTTATTTACCTATTTACTTAGCTCCTTATTTCCTTATTTAAGGGCAAAGCTATTTTCTTACTTAAAGCTTAATAAATAGCGTAAGCTTAAGCTAAGTTACCCTTAAGCTCCTAAAGAATGTTATCTTTAGATTTTTATTATTATTATTATAAAATTAATTATTAAAGATAAATAAAATTAGCGATTAAATATACTTATCCTACTTATATATTTAATTATAAATAAAAAAGAAATATTAATTTATACCTTAATTAACTTCAAAGCTAAAGGGAAGGCTTTTATTAATAAAGAATAGGCTTAAACTTAAGGAATTCCCCTGTTTTCTTTAAAAAAAATTATTTAATTTAAAAATAATTAATAAATAAAGCTTTAAAAATGCTATTTCTTATTATATTCTTATCCCTTGCTAAATTAATAACCATTGCTAAAAAAAATAATAATATTTATTATTTAGCTAGCTTATTACCTTATTATACTAAGAATGCCATAATTAAAATAATATAACTTAATAATTTATTTTACTTCTTATATAATTATATTTAATAATAAGTATTGCTAAAAATACTATAACTTACTTAAAAAATTATTAAAAATAAAGGCTTTGCAAAATATACTTAAAATTACTTAATCCTACCAACCTTTTTCTTACCTTAAGATCTTAAAGAAATATAAATTATATTAAGTATCTTTAAAAGCTGCTATTACTTATACTTAAAAACTTAAATATTATTTATTTACCGCTATATTAAATTAAATTAATAAGATATTAAATGCTTAGCTTACCCACCTTATTAAAAAGGAATTAAAAACCTTACTTAAAGAACTAAGAAAGTTTATTAATATCTTCTTATTTAAGGAAGCTAAGAGGTTGCCTTTATACTGCTTATATAACTATTATATTTAACTTATAAATAAAAAGGCACTATCCTTTAGCCCCTTATATGCTATATTCTAAGATAAGCTAAAAGTTTTAAGGGAATAGCTTAATGAAAACTTATATAAAGAGTTTATCCGCTTAAGCGCCTTTTACATTGCCTTACTTATTTTATTTATATCTAAGCCTAAAGGAGGGCTTTACTTTTATATAAATTATTACATCTTAAATAATATTACTATTAAAAACCAATACCCATTACCCTTAATAAAAAAATCTTTAAATAACTTAAAGAGAATAAAGTATTTCTTAAAGGTTAATATTATTACTGCTTTTAATAACTTAAGGATTTATAAGAAAGAAAAATACTTAACTGCTTTTTATATTTTCTTTAATTTATTTAAAATGCTAATTATGCTATTTAAGCTTATTAAAGCCTTTGCAATCTTTTAAAGGTTTATTAATAATACCTTAAGATTATATTTAAATATCTTTTGCATTGCTTACTTAAATAATATTTTAATTTATAGCTATACTTAATTTAAGCATAATGAGCACTTTTGCTTAGTTTTAATTACTTTAAAAAAAGCTAAACTATATGCTAAATTAAAGAAATGTAAGTTTTTTATTAAAGAAATTACATTCCTTAGCTTAATTATAAAAGTAAATAGGATTTAAATAAACTTACGGAAAGTTAAAATTATAGTTAATTAAAAAACCCCTATTTATTTAATTAATATATAAGCCTTTATAAGGTTTAGTAACTTTTATTAATATTTTATTTATAACTTCTTAAAGATAATATTATTATTAATTTACTTAATAAAGAAAGGAGTATAATTTAACTTTAATTCCTTTTATAAAGTAGCTTTTAATGCTTTAAAGATAGCCTTTATAAAGGCCCTTATATTAACTTATTTTAATTAAAAAAAAGATATTATTTTAAAAATTAATATATTTAATTTTATTTTTACTAAAGTATTATCTTAATATAAGAATAATAAAATCTTATAACTTATAGCATTTTTCTTTAAAAAATACTTAGCAATTAAATATAATTATAAATTTATAATAAAGAACTATTAATTATTATTTATTGCTTTAAAGAATAATGTTTTAAATTAAAAGGTGCTTTATCCCTTATTAAAGTTATTATAAATTATAAAAACCTAAAGTACTTTATAATAATAAAGTTACTTAATCGCCGTTAAGCTTACTAAATTAAATTCCTATCTTAATTTAACTTTTAAATTACCTACTATCTAGGTAAATAAAGCGCTAAGCTAAATGTATTAACTAAAAGGTTAAAGAATCTTCCTTAAGAAGAGAATAAAAGATTATAGTATTAAAGTTAAATAATATTAAAGAAAGAAAATCTAAATCCTATATTATTGCTTAATTAATTCATTATAAACTAAGCTATAGCTTCCCTATTAATAAAAAAAAATATTTATTTTCTAACTACTACCCATCGCTATATTAACCCTACTAGCCTGCTTTAAAATAAAGAGATGTTTATGTTATTTAAAAAAGGCTATTCCAAAGACTTAATCCCTTGCTTTGCCTTAAAAGCCTTAAAAAAGGGCTCCTTGCATTACCTATCGCTAACCCTAGCTAAGTATAAAAACTAAGATGGTTACCTATATTATAAAAACCATTTATATATTCCTAATTTATCTAAATTAAAAGCTAAACTCTTAAACTTTTATTATACTTTCCTTATTACTAGCTACCTTAAGTTTATAAAAACTTATAAGATTTTAAATTAAGAATATTATTAGCTATAAATATTATGCTTTATATAGTAATAAATTATAAATTATTATTAATGCCGCTAAGCAAAGCTAAATAAAAAGGGCTATTAAGGCTTGCTTAAATCATTACCCATTCTTAAATATGCTTAAAAAACATCTTAATAAACTTTATTATATACTTACTTATTAGTTAAGGCTATAATACTATTATAATTATTATTAATTACCTTATAAAGATAAGGTACTTTATTTTTTATAAGGGAACTTATAACTTTAAAAAGGCTGCTTATTTATTTATTAAGCATACTTAAAAATTACATAACTTACTTATAATAATTATATTTAATTAAGAACCTTAATTTATATTTAAATTTTAAAAATATCTTACTTATTACTTAAAGATCTTTGC